AAATCTTGAGCTCAAAACTCGATCAGCACGTTTTACGGTGCAACTGTACCGCGATATTTTTACCCAATAAAAACACTATTCATAGAATTTTCTGAAACTTGCCTATCCACTCAATTTTTCGTTCTGAATCCATTACCAGGGTTATTTTTATCATCTGAGACCTCCTACTCAATTTTACCTTCATAGGGTTGTGTGCTTGGCTAATTACCGTTTTACCCTTTCTTTGTATTTTGACCTGATTTTCAGGATTTTCATTAATCCTTCCCTTTAATCCATATTTAATATATTAATACATAATTTCGAAATGCGAGGTGTTATACTCACCTTCTCCACTAACCTCTCTTCTGACTCGTTTGCAAGAAACTCTGAAAAGAAACTTATAAAAGCTAAGAGAGAATACAACAATCAAGCAGGAAGAAACATGTACAGCAGAGAATGAAGAGTGCTCATTTGTTTAGAGAAAAAGAAAGCATGTGGATTTCAAAATAAAAAGGAAAAACTCAACCCTAAGCCATCTAATCAAGCAACATGTTTCACCTGTCAGAGCACCAGTTCACCGCCTTTCCATTCAATTAAGGAACAGCTAAAGAAGAATCACAAGATTGCCATCCACTACATCAGCCTATAAATACGAGAACCCCAAACAAAAAAAGTATCGAATTCTTTGAGGAGAGATCATATAGTTCATAGTTTAAGTTTTTGTTTATAACTTGTATAGTTTTAGCAATAGCTAAGTGACAACAAGTCTTTCTCTATTCTTCATCACCATTTGAAACTCCTCACGAGCAATCTCCATACTTCTCCATTTTATTTTTCAGTGTTGTAAAACTTGTTGTTAGTTAATATACGTCTGTTATTTCTCTTCTCTTCCACTCGTTATCTTCAACCTGAATCTCGGGTCTGTCAGATTTCAGATTAAAATAATTATGTTTGTGTTTTCAGCCATAGGCTAAGTTAGTTTGGAATGGAAAAACTATGAAGTTCTCAAAGAACTACGTTCAAAACTTTTGCACTGAACTTTTTGTATTTCTATGATTCAAGTAATCTTAACTCTTTGAGTATCAATGGAAAATGGACACAAACTGAGAAAAGATCTCCCTTAAGGGAGGGATTTCAGATAGCTTAATCATAGGAGGAAGGTAAGATTGTGGAAACAATCTTACTGGTTTCCTTAAGAATAAGAAACCACCTCGTTCCCTGAAGGTTCTAAAGGAGTGAAAAGGAATATGAAAACTTGTGAGTCATTTAGTCCATGAGCTGAGGAATCAGAGTTGGCAGTGAAAAGACCTGAACAAATTCAAAAGGATTATAAGTCTTGAGTTGAGAGCATAGTTATTTAAGAATAGAACAGTGGATTCGTTCCTCTTGTTAAAAAATTTTGTGTTAATCTTTTCACCTTGTTGTCTCTAAATTATTGTTATCTTTAATTTCTGCATTTAATATCCTTTAACTACAAAACCAAATCTCTCATGATTTTGTCGTTCCTTCTAAAATCAGGAAGGATTTAATATATAACGACGTGAGGAGTTGTTTAGAGCCAATCTGAACTTACTATTTTAAGGGAACGTCCTTAAGATATTAAGAAACGAAAGGCCAAACAGTTCAATAATATTCTTTCATTTATTTCAAATTCTTTGTAGATTAGTTCAAAATACAATTTAGAGTTACTATCCTCGTAAGAACGATAATTTGGACACTAATAATCCCACTTATTACTTGATGCGTGCACTTGCGCGATTCAGTCAATATCTTGAGAACGATTGCGCTTTCTCTTGATAAACTAAGTAAAGAAACATCCTTCAAAGCACCAGCACCCAACATATATTATACCCGTCAATGTAAACAAACCTAAATCTAGCAAGCAAACAAATCAATTTCATACTTTAAACATTTATAAAGCACGATTGGTTTGTTCTTTACTTGAATCATTTATAAAGCAAAAAAGTTATTCTAAGTTCGGTAATCATTTATTCTATACTTGAAACATTTATAAAGTACGATCGGTATGTTCTATAGTTAAGATATTTATAAAGTAATGGAAATGATCCGTTTACAAAAAAATTTGATAAATTTTTACAAATTACACTATCTTCTCCCGGGAGAACATAGTGAAATCTAGCATTCTCCCGGGAGAAGATAGTGTAATTTGTAAACAAAAAAGATTGTAAATATAGCATGCCCCATAAAGTAAAATGGTTATTCTACGTTAGGTATAATGTTGACGGAAATGTGATATTAGAAGTGAAAATAAATTAGGTGAAAGTTTTCTCTAAGCATGATTTTGTAAAACGTGAGCTTTGATTTGACCTATTGTTTATTATAGTTTTTAAAGCAAATTTTGGCCTATTTTGTTAAATGCATACACTACCACCAAGCATTTGTATTAAGAGGTTGTTATAGTTTAACTGGTGGTCTTGAGTTCAAATATTTGAAAGTATAGATGTGTAAAATTTGGTGGAAAAATTTTTAATGCCGGACTAATCGAGTAATCAATGATGAACTGATGGATAATATTAAAAATAAAAATACATGCTTCAATTGACTTAAATTTTTAACTGAATAAGTCAACATTACCAATTTAATGATTGATGTCACTGAATTAATTAATTTTAGCAAATAAGCATTCTCTGTAGGGGTGAAACTGGACCAGGCCGGCCTACAGGGGTCTACGGCTCAACCTACGTCAGACCAAACCTGACCTAGTATATTTCGTAAAATAGGCCGGACTTGGGCCTTGAAAAAGCTTGTTTAATAAATAATCTGTAGGCCCACTTTCACAAGACCTGACCTATAAGTCTACAGGCCTGCTTATATTGTACTATTTATTTTAAATAAAATAGAATACAATAAGTATGCCTTGAAGAAAAATAAAAGATATAAATTTAATCAATTGCAATTATTTTTAACTCAATTATATTCGATTATATTTTAATAGAAATATGACTTTATTTCTTATATAGGAGGAACCAACATCTCAGCATGTTAGATTGTGTATATGAATATATTAAAAGGTTTTTGGGAGATGTTATACATACTACAAGCATCATGATGTGTTTGTTGGATTCATGTAGTTATTTTAATTTACATAGTATGGATTTATTTGTTGGATCTGATGAAATGTATATTATTTAGTTTGAGCCTTTTGCTTTTGAAAGTGACTCAGATGCAGATTGTGATGAGTTTTGTTGTGATTTTTGGTTTAACAACAGAGTTTGAGTATTTTGTGAAGTTGATTCATGGTTCTGCTTGGAAGTTAAAAATTAACAGACTAACGAGATAGATCAGGCCATTTATTTTTTATAAACGGGTCAAACCAGGCTAATAGTTAGGCTCGTATAAGCTAGGGCCAGGCTAAATTGAAATTTTTTGACATAAACTTGGGCTTTTTGGAGTAAAGCTTGGTCCAGTCCAACCCACTTTCACTCCTAATTCTCGATACTAAATATAGCTTTAATTTTTTTTTACCAATATTTATTGTTTTCTTAACACATAATTTTTCATGAATGAGATTTTTGTTTTTCTATAAGAAGAGATTGTGAATCCCAGCTTCATATTTTATGGGTTTCTTATCGCTTAAAGTTCTTCAATTTGGTTCCGATCTTCACATATTAGATCTCGAAAGCAAGAATGATTTGTTTATTCCTTACTTGAAACTTTTATGAAGCATGATTGGTTTCTATTCTTGATATATACATTATGCAAAAGATTATTCTACATGTTGAATAATTGTGTATGATTGGTATATTCTTTACTTGAGATATTTATAAAATAAAAAAGATTATTCCATTTGGAGTATGGTGTCGATGACATTGAATTCCAATGCAATCCAAAATAAGAATAAAATGATAAATAAAAAATAACTAAAGAGCTAACGATGGCTTTTATAATTAATAAATAAACTAAAATATTTATAATTATTACTCTTTATTTATTTATTATTATATTTAAATTTTACTCTCGCATTATTAAATAAAGACATAAAATTATATTTTGATTGGAGATAAATAGATGTAAAAGAAACTAAATGCAGATAATGTGAGGATACAACTTAAAAATTGTTTAAAGAAACAATTTTGTTTCAATGAATTTAAAAAGGAGTTTAACTTAAACGACGAATATAATGAACAATAATTAAATGCTTAAAGATGCATGACAAGTAAAATTTGTAAAAGAATGGACTCACAACATCTCTTTTTTTCTTATTTCATTTTCCTATTTTTGCCTTTCTGATTTTTTTATGTGCAATATTTGAAGAAATACTTGCAAACGGATTAAATATATATTCACATAATTTTAAAAAACGAATTAGATCTTTTGAAAAGAACACGAATTGCAAACTAATTGGATATCTCAAATAAGACTCAAAACCTAAAAATTAAAATGCAAGGAGTCAAATTATTAAAAAATAAATGACAACAAATTTTGAATGATAAAGCCTTCTTCTGAGGCTCAAAATCAAAAGTGGCAATCGAGCTTTGATATAAAAAATAATAAGTGGCAAGAAATTCAAATGATAAGTTCTTCCAAATCTGAAAATTAAAAGTTCAATAAGCTTTTAATTCTGTAAATAAAAAACAAAAACAAAAAAAGTTAAATAAGAAACCCTTCTAAGACTGAAAATTAAAAGTGGAATAGACAAATTTAGATAAAAAGACATCTTGAGTTATTTACCAAAAAAAAAAAAAAAAGACATCTTGAGTTTGAAAATTAAAAGAGTAATGAATATTTGATTCCAATGATAAATGACAAATAGAAGTTTAATTGAATAAATGAAACAAATGTTGTACAAAAAGTGAAGTGAAATAATAACTCTGTGCCGACAGCTGGATATTGTGTGTTTCACGTACGCCATCACAATGTAAACGACATACCATGAGACCGAATATATTTTGGTCCATCACAATTTGTAAATTCTAATCTTGAAAAGCAAAGGAAGTCTCCGTTAGAAAGGCTAAACTACCAAACCTCAGTCTCTATACCTCGCTCGCGCATCCAAAAAAATGGAGGAAGAAATTCTTCGTGAGGCACCGAAATGGATAAGGGAGATAGACAGTAGACTTGGAAATGATCCGGAACCTGTAGTTGATGAAGTTTCGAAGCCCAGATTACAAAGGGTTCCAGCTTATGTGGGAGCAAGGGTAGAGTTAAAAGAATTCTACGTGCCTAAGCTCATTTCATTTGGTCCAATCCATATGCTTAAACCTTACGTCCAGCAAGGACGGCTATACAAGCTTAGATGGACAGAAATGTATCTTCAGCAAACTAATCAAACCTTCGATAATTTGATTCATAGACTTTCTGAAAACTACCAAGACATCAAGAAATTTACAGGAGAGCACTGGAATTCCCTTTACAGAAACGCTTGGGGTCGAGAATTCGCTTTCGAAAAAGCCTTGGTAGTGGATGGGTGTTCGGTACTCCAATTGTTGGACAAATCCGCCGGTTCTCGTCATCCAGAAGAACAACTCATGCTTAACAGTAACCAGCTTGTGCGTGTGCATCAGGATATGCTGCTCTTGGAGAACCAAATTCCCTACGCAGTGCTCAAGCTGATATGCGGAGACGATCAAGACAGGCTAAAAAGATGCATGCGCAATTTCCTTCTAATTCATGGTATTAATGTTGACGTAATCAGAAGGAATACTACAAGCATGGACGTAGTTGGGGGAAAGTCGCGAGAGCACAGTACTGTAATAGTTGAAGAAGAAGAAGAAGAGGACCCGATTCATCTTTTAGACTATTTGCGGAGGGCCCTCTTGGCGAGGGACCGACATCATATCCCTACAAAAACCATACTCATACGGCGGAGACCCCTGCACCTCAGAAAATATAGGATTGGAACCATAAGGGAGCTCAAAGCAGCGGGGATTCGAATTCGGAAAAGGAAAGATACCTCTTTCTATCCCATCTTCATGAATGGACGGTTAGAACTTCCTGAATTCACAGTGGATGGCTCAACAGCTCTCATTTTCTACAACCTCATTGCCTACGAGATGTGTCCTGACTTTCGCAACAACTACGAGATCAGCTCACACTTAGTTTTCCTTGGCTCTCTCGTTGACCACCCAGAGGACGTGAAGGAGCTCCGGCATGCTGGCATCCTTCGCAACGACCTCGCCAGTGACAAAGAGGTTGCGGATCTCTTTAATCAGATGGACTTTTTATTGGTACCCGGAACGCCCAAATTTGCTCATATAAGAGACCAGATTGAAGCCCATTTTGAGTCCAGGCGTGGCAGGATCAGAGTCTTGCGCTGGATAGAAGAGGCTTACAAAAACTATTTGAGATCACCCTGGACCGTTATTGCCTTGTTGGCTGCCACGCTCGCTCTTGTTCTCACCTTCATCCAGACTTGGTATACCATGCATCCACCCTAAAGGAGCTTAACATCACCTATTTATTTATTTACTATTATTATATGTATATGCATGCTTTATCTGGTGTAATTGTGTAAAACAATATATGCATCGATATGTGAGTGCTTCTGTGAACTTTAAGTTGCATCTGAATAATTTCTGGCTTGAATGTGATTCTCCTGTGTTTTCGCGCGTGAAATTGAAATTGTTAGCTTTTTTACGTATGTCTCTTTTTTTTTTTTTTTTTGGTAGATTACGTTTGTCTCTTTAATTATTCAAAAGACTCCATTCCTTTTTACCTATTCATTACTACCAAGGGGTTTTGGAGAACTAGTTTTGCGGGGAAGGCTGGGCACGTATGTAGAGTGGTTCACTGGTGGTAACTGATACACTGCTAGTAGCTTCTTCTCTTAAGGGGGTTATTTTTGGATTAATGTTTAAATTGTATGGTGTCAGTGTTGGCAAAATATGACACGTAAAATTTTTTATTGTGTTGAATGTCAACGGGCAAACATACATTTGACCTGTACTTTTTTAATTATTTACTGTTTTAATCAATTTGTGTTGTGTTGTGTCGTATCATCCCATACAAAAAATGGTTCATGTCAGTGTCAAAAACTCATACTTTTACCATCACTTGACTTGTAATTAGGGGAAATTTTTAAGGTACCAGAGTGGTACCATTTACTCAATAGGAAAGACCAATCACAAAAAGAGAGAAGATGAAAGTGGAATAAAAAAATAAAAATAAAAAAATAAATACAAGTGACATTTTGAAAGAAAATGATACGTGAAACGGTGGCACCAAAAGTTTGCTCGTAATCAGGGTTGGTGTGCGTCAGGTTGAGTTTAAGTAAATCACCCGCAACAAAAACAATTTAACCGTATCGACTTTAGATTGGTTCCCGTCGGGCTGGTTATATATATATATCAATATCTTTTATAATAAAACTAAAAAGTTAGAAGGAAAAAAAATTGAAAAGAAAAGGCCATTCGCATCAGTCAATCTGACATGATGTAGATGACAAAATAATTCTGACAGTGTACAACATAAGTCAAGATTTCGCCACGGAGGGAGCAATTTTATTTTATTGCTATGGTCACTCCCGTAATCCATGGATCTGATCTATTGTGGATGGAGATGAGTTCACTGCATTAGCTGTTGTGATAAAGGTTATATTTATAAAAAAATTTACAAACTCAATCATTACTCTGGGAGTAAACTCGATTAGAAATATACTTTCAAAAATACAATTTATAAATAAAAAATTTATAAATATAACCTACTGTAACCTTATTATTATCAAGCCTTATTAGTTATATTTTATATTCTACATAATCAATAGAATCCTAATTTTAGTGTTGCAATGCCACACTTTACACTTTTACCCCCCTTGTCCGACCTTATTTTTAGTGTTGAAAAGAATTAAAAAAAAAAAAAATCTATTTATATCCCAGAATGAGTAGAAGCTAAAAAAAATCATTTCGATTTTTTCCACCAATTTCTGGTTCTTGTACTGCAGGTGCATTGTGTAGAACAGAAAATTATATCAATCTTATAAAACACAATTTCTAACCACTTTTGTTCTCCAGATTAAAAATGGCGAAGAAAAATCATTTTTGGAAATATTATCTAGCACAAAAAAAAAATTGAAGATGTTACTAGCACAACAGAATTGCCTTTCTTACCCGTTTTACTCCCTTTGCCTAACCCACATTCTCACGATCCCACCTCAGCAGCCCTCCATCTTCCCTCGATTATAGTTGACCATGATTTATTGATGACTTCTTATAATATGAGAGCTGAAGGAATCAGTTTAACAGGCACTCAACATAATTGGAGGGAAGCAAGTACAATGGAGGTAGGGCAGACAGTCAGTAGGTTACAATTATCCATATGAATGAATATAAAAATCAGAGCGAGTAACTTTTATTCAGCAAAAAAACATTTTCTCAGCCTGAAAGAATTAGTGACTATAGCCGCTTTGAGGGTATTGATATAACAGAACCATAAATCCAACCTTACAAACGTAAAAGACTTTCTTCAATCTCTCTTCTGGCAGGTCACCTTGGAACTGATTGGCCAAGCTCTAAAACAAATAAAACAAAGGCTCAATTAGTAACATGCTTGAGCAGAAAATCCTAAACAAAGCAGACAGCCAAAGACCGTTGAACGAAAACTTTAATCAAGATAAATTCATACATAAGTGCAGTTGCAGTGATGTCATGGTACAAGGAAGAACCGCAATGGTTAATGTGTAATCTGAAAATTATAAGCTCCGTTCATATGCCATTCGTACAATTTGCTTCAGAATTAGCATATATTTAACTAAACACGTGTTTAAGTACAAAGTATGAGACGGTTATTAGCTATGGTTCTCCAAGCTGCTCAGAAAGCAAAGACAAAAGATCCCACCTTAAGAACAGCATGCATGTCTCACGTCCCATCAATTCCATCTGGTGAAAGTAGCAGTTATGTTATCATATTATACTTATTTACTATAAAAGTATCATTCAATATATTATAAATTTTAAGGCAAATATTTGCATATAAGAATCTGGTTGGGTGTCATAAGGTTCCTTAATTATCTATTCAACTATCAACACCCAGTGCCCTCCTAATTTCAATGTCCTACGTGCCACTGCAAGGCTCTTCCTTTGTATTTCCTAATATATGAAAATTTATACCAACAGATCACTGTTAGCACAGAAAGACGTGTTTAACTAGTACACTCACTCTGATCATCTTGTTGCACGCTTATTTTGTAAATTTGAAGTCTGTTAGGGAAATACTATTGTCAGCTCGAGCGAATACATGCTGGAGTCCTGACTGATGGTGATTTTCCTTTCCTTTCTAAATTTAACAACAAGGTTCATGTATCTCAAGTAACAAAATATTCATCTACAAAAAATACACCTGAGTGTTTATAAGCTCGATTGTTTCACATCATCACCCTATTTGTTAAGGGTAGATAGAATATAGTACATAAAGTGAGATTTCGAATTGAACTAGCTAGCAAAAGCTTTATATATGATGGCTATCTTAAGAGAGCTTACTGGACTCCAAGCTCACCCACCATGCCAGAATAATTATGCAGAACAAATAAATGTAAGAAATATACTGATTAATGCAAAGAGACATCAAACTGAAATAGACTGCTTTGAAAATGCTCATCCAATGTTTCAATAATACACCTCGATTGCTGCTTGTATAGAAGAAGAAAAAAGAAAAAAACAAGATTTGGGATTTTCTAAAAGAAATCACCAGACCACTAACAATGAACAATTAATTACAGTAACAAGTAGAATACTACTTAATCCCTAGGCATTATACATAGATTAAATCCACCAATTTCAATCTTCCGACTTTTTTTCCGCTCCTCTTTTCATTTCCCAAACAAAAGAAAAGAGAAGCAATTATTCCACAGGAAATCCAGACAGACTTCCAAAGAACCGCAGAAGCTGCCAACAAAACAAAGCTCTATTCTAATATTGCTGAAGAGATTATTAAATGTTGAAAGAACGATTATTTTTTCATACTTGATAATGAGGCAGTAGGCCATAATTGGCTGGTCCCGCAAATTCCCAATTAACTATGTGCCTGCAGGAACCAAATTTTACAGTTAGTTGGCATCAAAACTCCCTGTTAAAGCACTTTCACATTGTACTCACGGCCTCCAAATTTGTTTCATCCTCAAAACCTGCCTACCCAAACCGCAATGCCCCATTATATAAACTAAAGGATACTAGACAACGTGAGGCAGTCTGAAACACTCATGACTGCTTGAAATTTTCTCGGGTAGACATGACATGTCGAGATTATGCTATAGACCAATAAGAATATCCATCGGTTTGACAAAGTCTATATAGTGAGAACCAAATTTGATAATGCCAAAACAACGTAGCATTATATTGTCTAAGTGAAAAAAGTATCCAACTAAGAAATTTCCTAAATGCTATCTACACCCACTTTTTTATTTTTCCTTTTTGGTTAAATTCTCTATTCCTTGTTTTAGTGAATTCCCTATACTGCTTTTAAGTAACTACTGTTAACATTTCACACACCAATATCATTAAGCAGCCTAATGTTACACAAGTTTAACAAGAAGCAACAAATCAAGTAAGCAAAACACCAATGCATCGGCCCCTTAAAGTAACAAACAAATCAGTTAAAGCTTTTACTATTATCATTATTATTATTATTGCATTTTCATTTGAAAAACTTATTCAAATGTGGCAAAAGAAAGAAATCCATAGAAAAAACTCAATCCAAGAAGCAAGGAAGCTGCTACTCACACTTTTGTGAATAATTTTGAAAAAGAAAGTATTAGAGGCCGGGAGAGGTGCAGCAGAGAGTACCCTGAGAAAGCGCTCGGCAGCTCCTCGAAGTTATGCTGAGGCATGACGTCATTCTAGCCACCGCCACCGCACTGTGCAGCGGCAACATCGACTGCACGCCTCCCAGTTCCGCCGCAATCCTGCAACAAACAAACGAAACGACAACAACGTAATAATTAATTCTAGGGTTTACTGATGTCTAGGAACAGAAACGAACATCACAGGATAAAGGTAAACCTGGTTAAGAAGGACCGGCGGAGAGGAGAAGAGGAGGTGGCTGCTTTGGAGGAAGAAGAAACGCGAATGTTGGATTTGATAGCCGATTTAATGGACGAAATCGCTGTTCTTTGCGCGATTCTGCTGCACGCTGAAGCCATTGACGATGAGATTAGATCGGAGGAACAACAGTCAACAACAGCGCAAGCAAGGGTTTAGGGTTTTGCGACGTTGATTTGATTTTGTTTCTGTTTCAAAACGAAAAAGAGTCGGGTCTGGTAAAGTGGGTTATTGGGCCTGGCCCGTTTTCGCTTGATCTTACACTGGCTCTTTCCCTTTTTTTAGGATATTTTTAACTCTGATCCATGCGTGAATTTGGGGAAAAAAAATAGTCCCCTTCAGCTGATATTTTTCTAAAGAGAAAAAAAAAATAGTACTTTACGCTCTCCAAAATACATAATATAAAATCTTTCGTTATACCCAAATGATCAGTACCTCTGTCATGCTGAAAGTGCTCTCTGAATTTGATCTCATAATTTGAGAAATTCGAATGTAACCATTATATTGACAATTCAAACTTCATTAGAAAAAAAGCATCATGTAATGGAAATTTTTGAGCTCCATGGAGAATGTTATATAAAACACGATAAGCTTGATAGTAATCCTTGGAAACCCAAACTATAAGAATGTTAGTTCAAGAAAATCCCAATTCATAAGGTCATAAATTTTCTCCTAAGTCAAATTTTAACAAGTCACCATACCTTTATTTCATTTTACTCTTACGCATGAAATGGAGAACTTCCTCGCTACTATTGCGTCAATAGAAATACTTTATATGGGGATGGTCATGACAATAAGATAAGGGAGTGCTTTTTTAAGAAAAAAAGCATTTTAGGTGTAGATATTATATTACTTACTTATTGACAAGATTTTCATTGAATGTGCGTATAAAATATGAAAAAACAATTTTAATTTTGGTGATGTAACGAGTCACCTAAAACCTCAATATACTTGTCCGTAATTGATTAGTTTGAATTCGTAAAATTTTTTTTTTTTTTTGGTAGATGAATTCGTAAAATTTTGTTAAGAAAGGTTTCGTACTCAATAGCAATATTGCAAGTAAACGAATAGAACTATGACAGCCGCTGAGTATATTCAAGTGCAATTGCATTAATTGACAATATCCTCTCTCTTTTCTATATAGTGAGAAATTGACCACCTATTATATAATTACTCGCACTCTTATTATTATTAGATTAATTTTAGTGGATTAATTGACAATATCCTCTTATCTAGTGTATGAAAGCAAGAGCTGTCTTAATTTTTGTTTACAAACTCTTACAAATTATATTATATCTGACCGGTCATACTTCAATCAAAAGTGTATGACTGATCAGACTTAATGTAATTAGTAAAAAAAATTTATAAACGGATCAATCTACTTTTTTATAATATCACAACTTGCGACTAAGTGATTATTAGAAAAATAAAACTGCATATTATCACGCTTCAAGATCAATTGTCAATATTATTTGTCACTCCAACGTATCACCCCAACCCTGGAATCACAAAAAAAATTAAGGGGTAAATTATAATAATTTTTTTAAAAAAAATTACAATTATTTATGTGATAAAAAATAAAAATAATACTTATAATTAAGAATTTATATAAGTTTTAATGTGGGCCGAATTCTAAAGATATAATAAAAAAACCATAAATAATACTTAATTATAAAGGTGTGTATCTGTTAGCCCCTTCCCTCCACCATTGCACCCCCAACCCCTTTGTTCATGGCTTCAGAAATTCTTTCTGTAAATTTAGTTTATTAAATTCATATAGATTAAACCAATAAATAAATTAATATTAGTTATTAAATAAATATAAAGCGTTTCACATACTAAATATATACATCTCAAAAATAAACAATAATATACCTTTTTTTTGTTTTAGTTTGCATAAGTTGTGTAAGCAAGTTTATAGAAGAATATTTTCTATCACTCTCAATGATGATAAACTCATTCCAATCTCTCGTAGTATAAGGTAGAGATTAACCTTGGATATAGAAATCTAGCTATTGCAACTGATGAACCCAGTGTTATGATTGTGATGCTATACCCTGTGATGCACGGACACTGACACGGAACACAGAAAACGACACGATACGCCGACACGTTAATTCTAAAAAATGATATATTGCAACACGTTTTGATATTAAATAATATTTTTAATATATATAATATAATTTATATTTAATAGATATAACAGTCCATAATAAGTCATATAACCAATCAAATATTCAAATTTCATAACATAAATATAAACAAAAAAATTTTCGTGCCTTGTTAATTTTTCATATCAAATTTCATAACAGAAAAAATTGATTTATAAATATTTTTTTTATTTTTAGTTAATAAAATAAAATTAAGACAAAAAAAAAAAAAACGTATCCAAACGTTGATCACGTGTCCGAAAAAGTTGACTGCGTGTCGAAAAAATATGTCAGAACATGACGAAGAATTGACTACGGTTCGAATGCCTGTCCGTATCCGACACCCACAATTCTCAGCAAATGGCGAGTCCGTGTTTCAGTGGCTATACCCATAAATCTTAGAAGAGGTTTGTCTTTTGTATTAGACATGGTAGTTTGGATAAGAAAGAAAGATCGTCTGAGCATTGATAATAGATAAAAAGACCGTAACACCAATCCACAAGCCAAAACTACTGAAATGAAATGACTATAAAGATCTCTGTGAATCCTATAAATGGTAAAATTGGTTGCACCGATCAGCATGAATTTATGGGTTTCCATCATAAAAAGCACATCAAGATTGGGACTACCTGAACGCTCGAATAAATGATTTTCATTGAGGTTGGTCGAAAAACAACCAAATTACATTGGAAAATGAAAAACAAACCCAAACGAAAGGGACCTGACAAGCAGAAGAAATATATCGGTTCTACACTTCTACTTAATTTTTTTATTTTCTTGTTTATTTAAACCAGGGTAGGATTAATTTCAGCTACAAATATTTGATGGGTCCACTTTATTGGATTATTTAAGCTTACGTGAACATTTGCATATTTGTTAAAACTTGAATTGATACTCTCTAACATATTTTGCTTAAATCTTTGATATTGAGCTTTTATAAACAGCTTTTGTTATTGAGCATTTGTGTTGAGCATGTGTTGGCCTTGTTTATGGTTATTTCATAATGGATAAGTTAACCCAACGTTATAGACATAAGGAAATGTCCTTATTTTCATATTTGGTTGTTACCTCGATAACACAATTAAAAAAATGTAAAGAATTATAATAATTTATTTTTTGCCCAACAATATGATTAATGAAGATGCCTTAATTTATGGTAAGATTTACAAAAATCACTTTCTTTTTCTTTCTTTTAACTAGCACTTTAATTCAAAAAAAAAAATTAAAAAAATTAAATAATGCCTATCTCAAAAATATATGAATCGCCTTTTCATTATAATTTTAGATTTTTAATATTCTTTTGTACTTATTGCCGTTTTAAATCAATTTCAATTTTAAAAATGTTAATAACACATTCTTTGACTTTTTATTTTTAATATACTATATATTATTAGGTGAAACCCTATAATGATTTCAATAATAAATACATTGTTAAAAAGAAAATGTCAAAGTATATGTTATTAATATTCTTCTTTATTTTAATTGATTTTTAAACTATAAACATACCATTCATTTTGTACGCCGTCTTACAATAGCAGACTTCAATTTTTGCTTTGTAAATTTTTTATATCACTTTAAAATGTATAAGGCGTATAATATTATTTATAATCATCTCATATAAGTTGTAGAAAGCTATTATATTACTATATAATAAATTGAAATTAAAGTATATCTTTGGACATATATTATAAAAGTCTATTTTTTTATAAAAATTAGATCCCTAAACTCAGTACTCGTATTTTTTATTTTATTTTTTGATTAAAAACTTAGTACTCATGAATTTATCATGCCTTTTTGGTTATCCTCGTTAATAGTTATGATTATTATTTTTTTGGGGTACGTAGTTATGAAATTTTTCATTATTATTCAAGTATGTTATTTGAAATATATTCCTGGAGACTTTTTTTTGGTAATCTTATTCCTGGAGACTTTTTCATATAATTCAAATGACATACTTTTTTGATTACTCAATTTTTTAATTCACTTATTGATTCAATTAAATAATATGTCAGAAATGATATATAATACATATGACGTGAAATTTGTTTTATTATATAATTTATTCAAGTGTAATCCGGTAATTTCCGTTACTAACAAATGCCAGTACCAGCAGTAAAACTAAACATGGAACTCTTTAATTAAAAAAAAATATGTTGACATTTATTTAATGAAGAGAAGGGATCTATTAATCTCATATTGCATGAGATAATTATCTCATGCAACAAAGACAAGATTGTAGGGTTCATTACTTTTTTAAAAAGAAAAAAAATAGTGGATCCCACTATTTTATTTCAGTTGCATGAGATAATTATCTCATGTAATATAAGATAATTATTTTCCTAAAAAGAATAATGGATGTAACCAGAAAAAGAAAAAAAAAATGGAGACATTTTCAATGCACCAATCGAGGCATGCTAGATTTCATCAAATTCATCTGAACGTCAAAACCAATGTATCATTGCTAATGTTATTTGATCGTAATTAATTTTAAAAAATATATTTTTTTTTTCTTTTTTATCTTATTATCAATGAGTAATTATTATAAAATAATATAATCACATGACCACTTTTTGACATGATAGGATTCAAATCTGCATTATATAAATAATTCTAAATAAAATAATTTATAAAAAATTAATTACAAAATATTTTAAAAATTGTTTTAATTGATATAAAATTATTTTATCTGAAATGAAAATAAATTAAAATATAGAAAATATACACGTTTGAAATTTTCAGTTTTGAAAAAAAATCGTAAAATTTGGTTTATTTGGTCGAAGATTGTTTTGTGTTAACTTTTTTAGTAGATTGTTTTATGTCGATTTACAAATATTTCATTATGAAAAATCTTGATAGAAGAAGAAATTTGAACATTAATTAAAAAATCTAAGAAAGAATTGTTTCATTTGAAATAAAAATTCAGAAGATATGTATTACAAAATGAGATAATTATGTGACAATGTGAGAACGATAGTAGATATAAATGTTATCTTACTCTAGAAAATAAGGGTTCAAATTTTTTATATGGAAATTAACTTTAAGTTTCGAACATATTTTTTTCCCTTTAAATTTTGGTTTTGATTTTTATATATTCATCAAATAAATATAACATAAACTAAGTATAAATTCCCATAAATACAAATTGTTGGTATGGATTCAAATTTTGGGGAGGACATTTGCAGTTAAAATTGAATAATTATTATGTCGCTTAATTCTGGATTAATTCTATAACTATATAGATTCCTATCTCCACCTGGGTCATTGAAAATATCGGAAACCTAATTCGTCTCAAATGAATAATTAGAAATATGAAATAAAAAAAATTATATAGCAAAAAAATAATATAACACAAACTAGGCATTATTTAGAAATTATTTAGTTGCAATATTTGAGGAATTTTATTGCATTGGTTGCATTGCATCTTATCAGTCCTTTCATAACGTTCCACCAGTTCGTACCCGTACCCATTACTCCAATTAAATACAGACAACCGATGATGATAAAGTAAGAGGATCAACTCACTCGATGCGAGAATCATATGATAGATGAACAGATATGATATAAAGATTAAAAATAATAATAATTCTTTTAAAGTAATTTTGTTCACATTATTATATAATTTTGTTTACTGATTTTTTTAAAACAATCACTCTGACAATTATCTTTTTTAATAATATTGATATACAATCTCAAATCTTAACATAAATTTTTGCTGAGGTTAATAGTTATATTAAATTTGAAATGAAATAGTAGAACTTGTAAGAGAATGTTATACTTACAATCATTTTATCTTATTATTTGTTTAATTATTGTTGAATTAATTTAAAATTAATGACAGTTATTTTTTATTTATTTTTTTAACCATTGATTTCAAATTGATCTAATGATAATTAAACAGATACTAAAAGTAATAAGTCTATAAGTAAAACCGCTCCTTATGTTTTATAGGATTAATGTTTATTTTTTAGAAGACATGTAATTTTATTATTCTAATCAAAACTACAATATTTTTTTGGTAAAAAAGAGAGTTACACAATAAATTAATAAAAACTATGATGGAAAAAAATGAGAGATTTTTTTAATTTAAATTAAATAAAAAATAATTATTTTAATTTAAGTAAATAGTCATTTTAACTAGAATGACACAAGGATAAACAATTTTTTCATATTTTATATGATAAATACACTGTGAGTGAATTATTCCGTGCTCGTTTTAAGATATTGCATTCCCTTTTCCGTCGTGATTCACGTGATCTCATTTTCTGTCATTTTGTTTTCTCTCCGTCATTAACAGGAAATTAACGAATAAAACCATATTATGGTATTATTTCCTCCCCCACTCACCACTCATCTCCGCAACCATCTACTGCAATCTAATTCTAAAGTGAATTAGAATAAATAATAACAAAAATAATAAAAAAAAAAATTGCCATTTGGGGAAAGCAACGAAATTTGAAAGCTGTGTGTTGCAAAGCGAGTCTCCTTCACCACCCACTATACTCAATTCACATTCAAGAGTGGTTATCTCTCTCGTTCATAATAGTAAAATTCTGATTCTCAAAAAACCCTAAATTAAGGTTCCTCTTCCGCCACATCCACATTGCTTCCATTCATCTGAAACTGCACCTTAACTGAACTAACTACACTGCCTCAGTCCAGTTTTAGAATTTGATTAATTGATGAGGAATTTGGGTTGGTTTTTTTTGTGACCCGAGTATGAAGTGGTTGTGGGCAAGGCGTGGTGGTTATCGACCAACCTGGCTCTGTTACAATACTCTCACCGTAATGGCAAGCATGTATGTTGGAGATCCATGACAATGGCCAAGTCCATTTCGTGGTCGATGGTTTGCGGGTTGATGCTATTCGGGTTGGGTCTAATTTCACTCTTAACGGGTCACGTGGCTTCTCATCTTGAATGGTACTCCCAGCGATTCGTTCACCGCACTTTCTACTCAACGCTGGTTCGTAATCGTTTTATGCATTACTTTGCTGTGTTTTCCATGTTGCTAGTGTGGTCTCATTTATAAATATCATTGCCCTTTTTATTTTTTTGGGTTTGCTACTGAACGTATAGAATAATTGATGTGAGTCTTTGTAGGATGGAAATGATCGTGCGCAAATTGATATTTGGAAATCACAATATTCTAAATACTACTATGGATGCAAAGAAAGGGGACGTCATTTTGCTCGTAAGTTAATTCCCCAACTCCTTGTTTTACTTGTTTGCTATACGACAATAATTCAGAGTGCATATCTTTTTGTGTGTCCTAATTGCTAAAATATGAAGATGTATTATCTAATGGTAATTTTAGAAAATTTTAATTCAAGTGCGTTGTAATTCTCCATGTTGCTATGTGCTGTTATTATTACTTCTTGTCTATTATCAAATTTCTTTGCTGCTTCAGGCTCAATAACATTAGTAGGTTAATTAAAGATCATTGCAATTTTGCCTTGAGGTTTGTATCCTTCTGTTGAGATATATAAAATCATTAATGTGTCATCACCCAATAGCTTAAGCTTTTGGGTTGAATTGGTTCTTTATATGGTATCAGAGCCTCGCCGTCCCCTACTTTCTCTCGTGGAATTTCTTAGCACAGGTAGGCTGGGCCTGTTGCATTGTCCACGCTTCAAGCCCAAAGGGCTCTCGTGTGAGGGGGCGTGTTGAGATATAGAGTCCCACATTGGTTGTATGTGCAACTAATGTGGAGTTTATAAGGCAAAAGAACCTTGGGATACACCACCCCAAAAGCTAGCTCAAAGGGTGGGAGTGCCCAAGGCCTTATAAACTCCACATTAGTTGCACATACAACCAATGTGGGACTCTATATCTCAACACGTCCCCTCACACGAGAGCCCTTTGGGCTTGAAGAGTGGACAATGCAACAGGTCCATCCTACCTGTGCTAAGAAACGCCACAAGAGAAAGTGGGGGGCGACGAGGCTCTGATACCATGTAAATAACCTTGGGATACACCACCCCAAAAGCTAGCTCAAAGGGTGGGAGTGCCCAAGGCCTTATAAACTCCACATTAGTTGCACATACAACCAATGTGGGACTATATATCTCAATACCTTCAGATACCTCTTTTTAGCTCATCCCCTTGTCAGGAGTGTGATGAGAGAAACAGCTATAATAACTGAAGAGGAGAAGCTTTAACTGAATGGGAAGGAGGGTTGTGGGGTATAAATAGGAACAGAGATTGGCACTATAGCTAATGATACTGATCTATGTTCCTGTAAGAATAGGCTGCAAAGGTTTTAGACTAGTTGATGAATTAGGGAAGCAAAATGATGGGGCAATTAATACAGCTGCGTCAACAATGGAAAAGACGAGTACTGCTTCCTGTATTCTTACCATTGCCAACTTGCTGCACGGGGAATGTTGACGGTTTCTATTGGAGCCTTAGAAGATGCTATGATTATAGTTGTTTCGGGTGACTCTACTAAGGTTACAGACTTACAGTTACTGTTGAAGTTGTGAGTTTGATGCTATGGTTCTCGTAAATGACCAGGATTTTGCCTAGTTGATATGCTTCTTCAGGGCCTGTGGGAGAGGAGAAGGGTGATTTTCAAGCCACTGCTGAAATTATTGATCTAGCTACTATTTGTAAGGGCCACATGACTCTCTGGTTGTCCTACTTGTTGTTCCTTGTTGTGGGCATTGAAGAAGGTCAATGGGACCCTGGTGGACATTCTTGTAGTCATTTAGTTGTAATATGACACCTGGATTGTTGGTTACTTAGGAGAAGCTTTAACTGAATGTGAAGGAAGAGAAGGGGGGATGTGGGGTACAGCTAGGAATAGAGGGAAGATTGAAATTAGTTTTTGGTTGTTGAGAGAATTTGGGAGGGAGAGAACCAGGTCTTTGAATACCTGAATAGATAGAGATCTCTTTCTGTATCTCATTGATACTAATCAGAAAGTTTTTCTGTAATAAAGATGCCTTGTTCTGCCTATTTCTGATCCAGTTCTATTACACCTCTCCTTAACCCTCTCTTAGACCTAGAACCATTACAATCAACACCTAAGACCAAAAAGGCTGAAGATACCATTTACTGGGTTCTGTGATCTTTCTACCGATTTCCATTATGTATATGATTTAGCTAATGTTTGCTATACTTTTGGTGTTATATGGTATTGAAACTTGCCTTGTCGTGGGGTAGTATTCAAGTATTGTCTACTTCATTTTCTCTGCAAAATCCTGTGGTGCTGTACTAGAGTTCAGCAGTTCTCTTCTATTCCCATAAAGAAATAGGTTTTTGGCCAACAGTAGAATTTATTCTACTTGACAGTTATAGAAAAGTATATTTTAGGCTTGGTGTTTTTCTGCTTTTGTGTATGGTATAGTTTTATGGGAATTAAATTCTTCCTGATTATTTGTGGCAAAGCTGTATGATTAACAAAATTTTGACAATTTGCCCTCTTCTTTTAGCTCAGTATGCTAAATCATCTTCTTCCCGCTCTTTTGAACACGTATGTATTAAGTGCAAGTGAAAGTAGTATTTTCGTTATTCCTTAAACATATTTAATTTGTCGAGAACACTCATTTCTCTTGAAGCTATATATATGCTCAAAAACTAGACTGGTGCAATCCAGGTTGTACGAGGTCTTCTATATGGTGCCTTATGTGACTTGTGAACAAATTTAAGAGTTCTTTCTTATATGTTGTTTTATCTAGACAAATGCATTCCTTAAGATTGGGCTGGTATATAAAAACTTTTCTTCATGTTACTTTCTATCTTATTTTCGTAACCGATAATATAGCTGCTGTACCTGAGAGCATGTCCAACGGCTACTTGCTTATTGCAACAAGTGGAGGACTGAACCAACAAAGAACTGGGGTAAGTAGGAAATAAGTTTTAGTATATGCTATATTGCCATTGTTACATTGTAAGAATCTTCTATAAGATATGCTGGTCACTTGGTTTGATGGTCAATTACACCTTTATGCTTGGAAGAGCTTAGTGCGTCTGGTAGTCCTAGTTGCTCTTCTACCAGTTAAAATCATGAAAAAAATAAATAAAGGAACAATTTTCTCTTACGTTATTGGTTGATTTGGTTCTGTTTCAGATGTCTTCAAAGAATGAGGCTTGGTTAGGTTCTCTTTGCATTCATGATGATAATTTTTCTTCTTTTTGTACTAAGTTAATAATTTCTTTCTGCGGAAATGACAATCATGTTCTTGCCTCCAGATAACAGATGCTGTTGTTGTTGCACGAATTCTTAACGCTACGCTAGTTGTACCTGAGTTGGATCATCATTCTTTTTGGAAGGACAACAGGTAGTCTGCAGATCCTATCATACATTCATTACTCAAATTAGAGTTGATGAGAATCAAGTCAAAAAATGTTCGTCTAATAAAAATACTTTTGTTTGAATACAGTGACTTCGTCAATATTTTTGATGTTAATTGGTTCATTACTTATCTAGCAAAAGATATTACTATTGTTAAAAGAGTTCCTGTTAAAGTCATGCGGTCAATGGAGAAACCCCCATATACAATGCGTGTCCCAAGGAAATCAGACCCTGAATATTATCTTGATCAAGTTTTGCCAATACTCTTGAGGCGACGGGTAAGGCCACTTATTATGATTTATAAATGTTTGAAATATATTAATTATTTTAGTGAAAGATATTTTGATTCTGTAAATGATTGCCATGATTAATATTTAGTAGTTGGTCAATGTCAATTTGGAAATTCCCAAGTGAATTTGGCTGTGGTGGTAACTAAGTTTTGGGAGCTTTTGCAGGTTTTGCAATTGACAAAGTTTGACTATAGACTTGCAAATAACCTTGATGACGAGCTACAAAAATTACGATGCCGCGTTAATTATCATGCTCTGAGATTTACAAAACCTATACGAGAACTTGGTCAAAGACTTGTAATGAGAATGCGAAAGATGGCAAACCGTTTTATAGCAGTCCACTTGAGGTTTGTTCCATGGACCTGAAGTATAAATTTCAAATTCAACTTCTATCTAAAGCAAAGTGGTGTGGGTTGTCCATGCAATCACTTAAATTTCATAGATCTTAGGACTGGTTTATGCTTGTTTCCTCTCTCTCACTCTTATTCTCTTCTAGTCACATATGTGCTGTCCATATATTATCTTATCCTTTCTAATCATTTGACTTGTCCCAATCTAGTTTATTTACCTCTCCCTTTTTCACAACAGCTTTGTGTTTATTTAAAAAAATTGAAAATATCAAATTTCTGACAAAACTTAATAATAGCAATATGGCAGGTTTGAATCATGCCCGTTGGCTCTATACATTGTTTGGGTTCTCATAATTCATAATGATTTATGACAGGTTTGAGCCAGATATGCTGGCATTTTCAGGTTGTTATTTTGGTGGAGGTGAAAAGGAAAGACGTGAGCTTGGTGAAATCAGGAAAAGGTGGACAACCTTGCCTGTAAGACTGCAATCTCTGACTTTATTGACAAAATATTTTCATTTCAACTGGCAAGATAATGAGTTGATCACATTTTGTCCTTTTTTCACCCATGTGCTGAAGTCCCCAAAGGAGTTAAAACTAGTTATTTCTTTGCTAATATCAAATGAATGAGCCATTACCTCATGTGATAATACAGGATTTGAGCCCTGATGGAGAGCGAAAGCGTGGGAAATGTCCTCTTACTCCTCATGAAGTGGGTTTGATGCTGCGAGCACTTGGTTTTACAAATGACACATACCTCTATGTTGCATCAGGAGAGATATATGGTGGGAATGAGACCATGCAGCCTCTCAAAGATCTTTTCCCCAACTTCTATACAAAAGAGATGCTTGCTGAGGAAGAGTTGAAATCTTTTCTTCCATTCTCTTCGCGCCTTGCTGCTATTGACTATATTGTTTGTGATGAAAGTAATGTATTTGTCACTAACAACAATGGTAACATGGCCAAGATACTTGCTGGTCGAAGGTATGAATAATATTTAAATTTACTCTGGTGCCATCCTTTTACTCTTTCTTGTTTCAAAAAATAAAGGTCTAAACATATCTCGGAATGGAATTGCTAGTCATTACTATGACTATTCTGATATACAATGCGGGTATTATGTTGCAATATTTACTCTTAAATTATATTGTTAGAACCTGAAGTAAGAGAAATCAAAGTGGAAACGGAAACTATGGAAATTTGTATTAAGCTTACTGATATCAAGTCGAAATCGGAAGCATGCATTGAAAATTACAGAGAAATGCAGAAAAAAAACTGATAGCTAGCTTTTGAGAGGCTGGTCTCTCCTTGCAACTTCCTATCCAACTCCTTACTTACCCTTCTCTCCTCCTTCCCTTTCTGTTTTATCCCTTATCTCTCTCCAAACAGTCATAACCGCCTTTCCCTCCAAAGGTGGAGTCACACTCCCCTTGCCACTAATTGGCATTGCTCCCCTATGCCCCTTTCTAGAGTATACTCTAGTGACCAAGGATTTCGGGTTTCTATCAGTATGCAAAATAGATGGAAGAGCTGTGTGATTTTGCTTGGATTTAAGAAAGCTTGGTGTAATTACTCAGTCCTTATTCACTTGCAGTCTTGTAAGAAAATAGAGGATAAGTTATATTGTATGCGTCCTCTTGAGCCATGAAAAAAAACTGTGGAAAGATAGTGAATAAGAAGAAAGAGTTGGGATATATTTTGGTTTAAAATGGTGGAGACTTGTATTAGTCTTCACTCTTAATGAGTCAGTAAGATCTATCTTTCTTCTTTCATACCTTTTTCTTCTGTTGATTATTCTACTAGCCTTATAAGATTTAAGCTGTCATGGCTCATACAATGTTGGAAAACAGTTGATTTTGTAGTAGGCACAATAATTGCATTTTTGTCGTCATTAGGAGTTGGTGCATGGATAGAGCATTTATCATAGAGTTCCAAGGAAATTTGAGGTTGTATAATATGGAGTTCTTAGACCATGATTTTTGCTAGATTAATTTGTATGCTTTAGCTCAGCCAACAATGCTGATTTCAATAATCATTCTGAGTCTGATGTAGGCCTAGACACCTATTGGCAAAAGATGTTGAAATGCCAAATCTTAGGCGGGGTAACATTTTGGTGAATGCCCTGTGTGATTTAAACTACAGCACTAATATTCTAGCATTGAAGCTATATTTAATATTTTAGTACTAATCTTCAATCAAATTTGTTTTTCCATCGAGTTATTAATCCAGGAGATTTCAGTATTTCCCTTTAGGCCTTTACTATTATATACGAGGGTCCTAATCTTGTGACTTTTTTGTGTTTTTAATGAAAAATCATTTGAGTTGATTACAGGTTTCTTTTGCTAAAGCAAGCATTTTCCTGTCAGAAGTCTTACATTTTTCAGGAATTTTTCTATTAAACCTGTGTTTGCATTGGTCCCTCATTTATTAACAGAAAATTTAAGACGATATAATAGTTAATACTTTGCATTGGGGTCTGTTAAGTTGTTGTCCACATGTTCTTTTGTGGTTAGAATTGCTTCTACTCACTGCTACCTCTCTTTTTTCCCCAAACTCTTATTTGTTTGGTTAATGGGGAGGATGGTAAGAGTTTAATGAGTATATTTGCTGAATTCTTTTTGTACGCAACAGGAGGTATATGGGTCACAAAAGAACCATTAGACCAAATGCAAAGAAACTTAGCGCGCTGTTCATGGCAAGGCATCAGATGGAGTGGGACACCTTTGCCAGAAAGGTTAAGGCATGTCAAAGAGGATTCATGGGAGAGCCAGATGAGATGAGACCTGGACGAGGAGAGTTTCATGAATTCCCCAGCAATTGCGTGTGTGAGAAACCATTTATGGATGAACTCACAGCCAAAAACCTAACAATGAAAACAGACTTGGCAATGAATGGCGGAAATGAAGCAACTGTTCTACTACCAAAGCCAAGTGGGAGAAGGGCCAGCTTGTGATAAATGAGTAAGTTGGTGCTAATTTAAGTTGTCACGGGCATGATGGAGATCAGGCTAATTCACATTGTGGATGGCTCAATCTAGATCCATGTATAGGGTAAAAGACATCAATGCATTGCAAATGTTAATAATAGATATGCTTGGTTTAGTTTCGGTCGAGAGCTTTTTTTATAGTTTTTGCGCTAAATTTGAGTTTTCTCTAAAAAAAAAAAAAAAAAAAAAAAAAAAAAAAAATCTTAATCATTTTACTCCTTTTTTTTTTTGAATACATAATCATTTTACTCCTTCAATTAATAGATTGCCTGGTGACCTCATTCCTAGTGATGGCCTGGAAATGAACGGTCTTGAAAATTTTCTTAAAAAACGAAACTAATAATAATTGATAAATGAAATTCACATATATGATACACGATTCATCAATCATATATAAACTCTTTGTCATTGTCCAATTATTCCAAATTCTATTATTATTATTATTATTTTTTTTTTTTTTTCCCAAATTCGTCACAACCTTAGCTTATCGCAGAGATTCGCGACAAAGGAGAAGATGGGAGGAGAACGGAAATCGATACCTAAAGAAGAGGAGCACGATGTTACCATTTTATCATATCAGCAAACCTCTACAAACCAGTCCACATGGATAAATTCCATATACAGCCTACAGTGCCATGAGACCTAGGGAGATCAAATCATATTGTAAACAAGATTAAATTAATATGAACATCTACTGGCCTAGTCTCTGCCTAAACTCAAGGAAACAAGAATTTCCATTCCTTTGTTCCCTATTATAAAATATGCACATTTATACTGAGTATGGGGGTGATCCAATAACGGTTGGTCTTTCAACTGAACGGCATCACTACTCCATTTAACCCTGGTTATTACCTGTTACAGTCAATAAGTTGAAATGTAAATATAGACTCACTCGAAGTAGAATTATAGATATACAGATTCTCACCCCTAGAAGCATTACGATTCTGGTTTTTGTGACCCTTTTCATGTGAACCAGAAGGAACCTTTGAGACAATTAAAGAGCTCTGCAATCCTTCTAATAACTGCCAACCCAGAGTCAACCACGTCAAGCCTCAAAACAGAAGTCAACAGTATATAAAATACAGTATTTGTTACGGATCAGTCAGACAGTAAAATGGCTCATTTTTATACTTTAAAAAGAGAGAAAAGACCAAAATAAAATAAAAGGAATTCATTAGATGCAGCCCAGAATAATCACTTACTCTTGATGTTGGTTGGATCCTGCGATTGGATCTACGAGGCTCAATGACTTCAGAGGTTGATTTCACCGGATTTCTATTCAAACCCTTTTCCACCTCAACATTACCCAACTTCCTACCAGCAGGCGCAAGTTTTCCCTTGCTTGCCCGTGTTGTGGATGTCTTTTTATTGGGATAAGAATCAGTTGAAGTTGCAAGTGACGAATATAAGATTGGTCCTGCTCCAGCTCCAGTGGTTCCAGAAGAGGATGCTCTTTCCACCTGATTTTCACTCTTAGATGCATTCTTGAAATGACTTGAAGAATCCTTGATCCTTGTACGACTAGTCGGGTCATTGGTATTAGAGTTTGATAAAGGGTTTACCTTTGGTGGGATCACTCTACCCAAAACACTCTGTGGCTTTCCAGACTTAATGGTGGCCTTGGACTCAGCCCCAAGTTTCTCCTTGGTATCATTTTTGGAACTATTTTTCCACCCACGTGATCCTGAAGGTATCAAGAAATTTGCAAGCTTAACTGAATCATTTCCATCATTAATCTTACGTGTCCCATCTGTAACATAATGCTTGCTTACTTCCATAAATTTCCTTTTCTTCCCAGGTTTAGGAACGCCAAAAATCACTCCTGATCCTACTTTTTGAAGACCAGTCCTCGCCATTCTGTGTGCATCAGGTTTATTTTCATTCTTGCTGTTCTTACCAATATTAAACACTTTATCATTTTCAGTTAAATTAAGTAACCTCAACTCGCCGGGATTAGCTGCCTCCACAGCATCAACATCTTTTGAAACCTTGTCTTTCCCTTTTACCTCTACTGTAGGACTACCTAATTTAGGTCGTTTTTCATGTGGTGTATCACCCTACATCAAAATGCACAACTCAGCACGGACAGGCATTAAGTTAAAATCAGAAGTTGCAAAAGAAGTACCTCATGGGTAGAACTGTCATTTGCTCCCCCCTTGGGAGAGACAATCCATTTCCCATCCTTCCAAATAAGGGAGGGACGGAGATGCCAAGCTCTGACAGTTGATGTTTCTCCACTAGCTGTAGAAAACCAATTAGATTGTGTATTTCCTTGAAGTAGGTTTTAGACGTTGGTAAGCACAATATAAATTGATGTTTGATCAAATAACATGCATACCAGGAAAGTGAACGGTTAATGTTGTTTTATCTTTCTTGTTCTTATCTGTAATAACTCCTTCCTGCCAGCTGATCACAAAAACTACCAAACATGAGATAACTGCCACAGTAAAATAAAGACGCAATGTATGGTACACAAAACTATATAATAAAAGGAAATACACATTAAAAGTGCCGCAGCATAATGAAATTGCAATAAGAAAAACAACGATGCTGCAAAACCAAACAGCAAGACATCACTAACTGGCCAAGCTTTGCAGCTTTATGGTTTTTGCAAGACAAAAGCTAATATAAGGATGAATTGAATCTGTAAGATCTTTTTGTGTGTACTTTTTTCCGGAAGGAACTGAATGTGTAATTAAAGATGCTAATTATTGATGTTATCTAAAAAACACTCCTCGGAATGATGGGTAGTGTGTATCAAACGTTATAATCAAGAACAATTATTTTCGTGCTTTGAGCATACAGAATCCTATCAGCGCAATAAAATTCATTCCCTTTTGCGAATTTCTTGATATCAACTATAAATAATGAACCCATAAAAATATTGCTCATATCAACAATCAAAACACTCTATACAATTAATATACATGTGTGTGTGTGTGTGTATGTATATATATAGTTACTGCATTTATGTGGATCACTTCGCCTGTATCTGTTGGATTAGTGTCAAACAAATAAAACCTTAAAAGAACACATTAGAAAGTGTCACAGGCAAATATCCCATAAGACATACGGCAATAATATATAACTACATATAAACATCAAATTCTATCTCATAATCATCCTTTGAAAACTGTAGATAACTATACCTTTCTTTTATCCATGCATCGACTCTATCCCCAACAGACCAAGTATAATCTACCATAGTTGCTCTTCGCCTCTTCCTCGTTCCTTCATTATGCAAACCAGTAAGAGGACGAGCGGTCCGTATTCTGGGCGGTTTGTCTCCTTCTCCTTCAAGTGAAACCCATTCCTTTAAAGGCCCTGCATCTAGAAAACAATGATTCTTTTCTTATTCACAATGACAAAATACACTGTTGTAATACAAATTGTATTACCAGTGACTCATTCACATCCAAGATGATAGGAGACAATATTAACATCATATAAACACAAATTTGAAAATTTTCTTATCCAAAATGCTTGATTTACTTTCAAAGCCTTAATTAAGAATTTATGCACTAAACCTATGACAAACACCTTCAGAAAAACATCAGAATTAGAGTTATATGATCTGATCCAATAGCTTTTACATTCCAATGTCATATTCTAGAGACTGTACACACAGTGAGCCCAGGTTCACTGGGCCTTGCCAATGGAAAAAAAATGGAAAACAAAGTCATGTAGTTTTTCTCACTGGTCAATTAGTTAATAAGGTATTTTATTCTCATCAAACAACAAGTATGCATAATCTTAACCAACCTTCATCATTTACAAGCACACTGTAGCATACATAAGCTTTACCATCCTTCAAACTTAATAAGTTAGCTGTGAACCATGCTGCTTTAAATCCTTCGCCATCTTTGAAAACCTGATACATATGATTGCTTCAGTTAGCCAGGAAAAATATAATTTAAAAGCAACAACCTTTCCAAATTGGAAAGAATGAATTCAATTTTAATAAAATTAGGATCTAATCATCACCAAAGTAGTAATGATAACAATAAAAGCCCATGGTCATTAATCTAACTACTTTAACTAAATCAACTAAAAAATGTAAAGAATTTATGAAAACAACCTCGACAAGTGTTCCCTCCTTGATGTTATTTTCCTCCAGATTTTCAGATCCATTACCAACAGCAAAAGAAGCCTGTATTTCAGTCTCAGATTCAGGAAGCATATCAACAGGATTGACTAAATCAGAAACCTTACGGCCCTTTGTTCCTTTTGAACTCTTTTCATTGATGTTACTAATAGAGGAAATGCCATCAATGGACCTCGTATGGTCCTGTGATATCTCATTATGCACCTTCTGAAAAGGCGATTTCTCACTTCCAGCAATCTGCTTCCCCATTTCATCAGATGAAATACCTCTGTTACATATATGAGAAGTTTCCGGTCTGTCTCCAACATTATCAATGTTTACCAAACCTCTGGCCATGTCTTTCAATAGTCCGATTTGCTGAGAAGACTCTTGGGCTGCTTTCCAACAACCCTCTGGACCAGCTTCTACTAAGTCACTTAATGGGGGAGGATCACCCATAGTTACAATCTTTCCAGCCTGTGACACAGCTTCTGCCGCCAGCTCAGCAGCCTTCACAATAGCATCCATATTTTCAGCTCGTTTTCCGGCAGCTGAAGCAGCTTCCACTCTTCTTCTTGCAGCCTCCTTTGCAGCGACAAGAATAGAACTAGAGCCGTTGGTTAAATTAGCACCCTTCAAGATGGAAGCAGGGTTTGCTTTTCCCAAGTCACTCATACCCTCAGAAAGAGAAATTTGGTAAGAACTCTCATAACCAGATAAGACCAATGCTTCATCAGCCATCATTTTTGCTTGTAACGCAGCATTTGATGCAACATTGGCAGCTGCAGCTGCTGCCTTAGCAACAGCGGCAGCAGCTGCAACCGCAACTGCTGCAGAAGCTAATTTGGCCTCAATATCTGACACCAATCCAGAATTTTTTTGCTTATCCAACTGTTTCCATATCTCCAGGCTATGATTGACAGCAGCAGCAGAAAGAGCAGAAGCTTCCTCTGCATTTACCCTCGCCTCCTTAATTTTCGTAAGAGACTCATCTGACAGAATCCTCTTCTCTACATTCCAGTCACTTTTGAGGTGATCAGCAAGAGATAGAGGAGAGATAGACACAACTGATTTTTCAACAGTAGTTATGGGCACATTCCCAACAGGGGCTGCAGTGGCAACAGCAGCAGATATATGGCTGCTGACAACATTAGTCGGTACTACTTGAGATTGGAAATGCATAGCCTTCTGGCCAAGATCCTCAGACACCATAACTTTTTTTCTTTTTCTGGGCTTTGGATCTGAAGAATGCTGAGCATGTGAGACATTGTTTGTATCAAGCAGAGGGGCAGTTGCTACAAATACATTTTGTGTACCTGCACTTGAAGCTGGCAGACAAGTTGGAACATTCTTTATGCTAGAGGAAGGAGGTACAGAAGATCCTTTGACTGAACTGTACTTAATTGTATCTGTAACAGGTGATGCAGAAATATGGGAACTGTTATCAGCTGCAGGAGTGAGAGAAGCAATCCATGGTCCACGAAGGGGGGTTTGAGATGTCCAAGACGTGTTATGTCCAAGAAAGCTTCTACCAGGTGGGGTTTGATAAGGATGCAAAGAAGTAAGTGCATGTGGATAATCCATAACGGAACCCTTTGCAAGGGAACTAGAATGCAGGGAATCACAAGAGGGAGTTGGTAGGCTCCAAAGGGGAGATGAAAGGGATATTAAAGGGTTTACAATTGTTGGAGTAGCCTTGCAGTTGGCTAGGCCAAGAGGTGAAGAGACACCTTTTCCTTGATGTGCACTTTGCTTAACTGCCAAATCAGTGGTTCTAGGACCTGCTGATATCAATTCTTAAGAGTTACACAATCAAATCAAAGAAAAAACCAAACAAGTTAATATAAAAATGTATATAATATACAACAAAAGATACCAGATCGTGATTGCAAAGATGTTTCTGGGTTAATGGGATGAGATTTTTTACCGCGCTGTCTTTCCATGCAGGAACGCCAAGCATTCTCCCAAAGGCTCCTTCCACCATCTAACAACAATTCATGGGAACTCAATACTTTGTTACAAACAAATAAGAGAAAAGAGAAGGAAAAGGGATCATGATTTGAAAGAAAAAAAACCTGGGCCCCCAAAAGCAGATATCATATGTGCCTCATCAGGTACTGTGCCTTGACTGCAGCAACATCAATAAGAGAAATAATTGGCACAGTTGATTATCATACCAGAGAGTGTAGAAAATCAGAATTCAAACATGTTTCCGTTTTTATTTCCTATTAATTAGGATTGATTATGATTGATTAGGATTGATTGTGATTGATTAGAATTGATTGTGATTAGGATTGATTAGTCATCGCTTAGTCATTCTTAGCGATTCTTTCTTGTATAAATACTCACTCATGTAAATTATTCAAGATCAATATACAAAAACTTCTTTTCAATATGGTATCAAGAGCGGGTTCGTTCCTACCCTAATTCAAATCTGAAATAACCATCCAAACACTTCCATCACCGTCAAACACCTCCTAAACACCTCCTTGAATCTGTCCAACACAGAAACCTAGTCTACTGACCTCCGATCAAGAAAGTGAGGTGACCATTCGACTCAGAAGGATCCAACGAGTCGACCGCCGCTGGACCCATCGCCGTCAACCGCCGCACGCGCCGTCACACGCGCGGCCAGTCTCCGGCGCGTGAGCTCCACGCGCTGCCTTCCCAACGTCTTTTTCCGCCGCGACTTGCACAGACCTTCTCGCCGGCTTCTCCCCTTCCTGTTCCAGTGGTCAGATCAAAAATTTACAAAACTTGATTTTTCATCAACGGTCAACCCTCTTCTTTCTATTCATGGCTTCCTCAAAACACTCTTCTGCCTCCTCATCTGCCCCAAATTCTCAGTCCTCTGGAGACAACTTAGGTTTCCAGATCACCAATCACCGGTTGAACGGTAGGAATTTTCTGCAATGGTTTCAATCAGTTAAGTTGGTCATCCGGGCAAAGGGTAAGATGGGCTATCTTGAGGGAAGAATTAAGAAACCTACTGAGAATTCTCCTGATTATGACGATTGGGAGATTAATAATTCCTTGGTCATGGCTTGGCTGACTAATTCCATGGAACCACAGATTGGCCAAACCTATTTGTTCTTTGATACTGCCAAGGAAATTTGGGATGCTGTTCAACAGAATTACTCCGATCTGGAGAATACCTCTCAAGTTTTTGAACTGAGAAATAAGTTGAGAGACTTTCGTCAAAGGGGTATGACTGTTACTGAATATTTTACTGCACTAACGAATTTATGGCAGGAATTGGATCTTTATTATGCATCTGATCTTAAGGGATTGGAAGCTAATACCCAATTTAAAAAACACTTGGAGAAGGAAAGACTGTATGATTTCCTTGCCGGACTCAACCGAGATCTTGATGAGGTTCGTGGTCAAATATTGGGGCAGCGACCGTTACCTTCACTTGCTGACGCCTTTGCTGAAGTTCGTCGAGAAGCCAGTAGACGGAGAGTTATGCTGGGAGAAAAGGAGTCGCTTGATAAGTCTGATGATATGTCTGCATTAGCTGCCAACCGTACCATTGACCGTTCCTCCGGAGAATCAAAACGGGATGGTCGTCCATGGTGCACCCACTGCAATAAAATTGGTCATACCCGTGAGAAATGTTGGGAAATCCACGGGAAACCTGCAAATTGGAAGCCCAAAGGACAAAATAAAGGTCGTGCATATCAGGTCTCTACTGATGACAAGGTTGATGAGCCCCATGCATCCTCTGACTCTGATGGTGTCTTTCTTAGCAAGACTCAGTTTGAACAACTTCAGAGACTTTTGACTCAACCTCCTAAGGCCACTAGTCATGTGGTCCAGCAAGGTACAACTTTCCATGTTGATAGTCAAAATCATTGGATCCTTGATTCTGGAGCCTCTGATCATATGACAGGTAATCTTGGCTTGTTTTGTTCATACACTCCATATTTTGAACCTTCTCGGGTCAAGATCGCCGATGGCAGTTTTTCCCAGATTGCGGGACACGGAACCATTAAACTTTCTAAGCTGATTACTTTGACATCAGTTCTTTATGTTCCTTCTCTGACTTGTAATCTTATTTCCATTAGCAAGCTCACCTCTGAGTTGCATTGCTTTGCTAAATTCTTTCCACATGGTTGTGTTTTTCAGGAACAGGACTCGGAGATGATGATTGGCAGTGCTAGAGAGGATGGTGGACTTTACTACTTTGAGGAGGATGTGACTCATGAAGCTGTTTTCGTAGAAAAAAACTCTATGTTTCCTTTTGATTCATGTAATGATGTTATGCTGTGGCATCGTAGGCTAGGCCATCCAAATTTTATTTATCTTCAGAAGTTGTTGCCAAACTTATTTATTAATAAAAGTCCAAGTTTGTTTTCTTGTGATATTTGTCAACTTGCCAAGCATACTCGTGCTCATTATCCTTCTAAAGTTCACCATGACTCTTCCCCATTTTCCTTAATTCATAGTGACATATGGGGTCCAGCCCGTGTTAAAAATATTTCAGGTACTCGATGGTTCATTACCTTCATTGATGACCATTCTCGAGTCTGTTGGGTGTATCTTCTAAAGGATAAGTCCGATGCTGCATCCGTGTTTAAAAATTTTCATGCCATGGTTCAAACCCAATTCCAAGTTGCCATACAAATTCTTCGTACAGATAATGGCAAAGAGTATTTTAACTCTATTCTTGGAGAATATCTTTCCCAACATGGCATCCTTCACCAAAGCTCGTGTCCTGACACACCCCAACAAAACGGAGTTGCGGAAAGAAAAAACCGACATCTCCTTGAAGTTGCTCGGGCTCTTATGTTTACCACGAGTGTTCCTAAATATCTTTGGGGAGAGGCAGTTCTCACTGCCTCGTATCTGATAAATCGAATGCCATCTCGCATCCTGAAATTTCAGTCTCCTCTTTCTAGTCTTGTTCGTATCTTCCCTTCCTTCCGAGGTGTCTCCTCCTTACCTCTCAAGTTATTTGGTTGCGTTGTATTTGTCCATATTCCCTCCCATCAACGGTCTAAGCTTGATCCTAGTCTCTTCAGTGTGTCTTTATTGGTTATTCTCCTACTCAACGTGGCTATAAATGTTATTCACCCTCTCTTCGTAAGGTCTTTGTCTCTATGGATGTCACTTTTTCTGAGAATGACCCTTTCTTCCCCTCGACTTCTCTTCAGGGGGAGTCTATAGGAGTAGATGAAGATCAGTCATGGGAACCTACTGATGCCACGGTATTACCTCTACTTTTGGAAACAGGGGGAGCTACAGAATCCTCACCATCAAGAGCCTCCTCAAAATGGGGACAAGTTTATAGCAGGCGAAAGCCTCCTCAAAGTGTGAATAACCCAGAGCCTCTACACTGCCAGGATTCTGAACCATGTTCTAGTTCCAGCACCCCAATACTTGAGTGTCATGGTGAAAATGATCTACACTTGCCCATTGCTCTCAGAAAAGGTACTCGATCTTGTACTACTCATCCTATTTCTAATCATATTTCATATGGAAAGTTGTCCCCAGGGTTTCGTGCTTTCAATACTATGTTGGATAGTACAAAGATACCGAGAAATATACATGAGGCTCTCAATGATCAAAAATGGAGGGATGCTGTCTTTGAAGAAATGAATGCTTTAGAAAGAAATGGAACTTGGGAGATAGTGACCCTACCCAAAGGAAAACAGGCAGTAGGATGCAAATGGGTGTTTACAATAAAATTCAATGCAGATAATAGCATCAACAGATACAAGGCAAGATTGGTTGCAAAGGGTTTCACTCAGACTCATGGGATAGATTATCATGAGACTTTTGCTCCGGTTGCTAAAGTCAATACCATCCGAGTTCTCTTATCTCTTGCTGCCAATCTAGATTGGCCTCTGCAACAGTTAGATGTGAAGAATGCATTCCTAAATGGTGACTTACATGAAGAAGTCTATATGGATCCTCCACCTGGTTTTGAAAAGGGAAATGGATCAGTGTGTAAACCAAAAAAGTCTCTATATGGATTGAAACAATCTCCCAGAGAATGGTTCGACAAATTCACACAAGCAGTCAAAAGAAGAGGCTTCATTCAAGCACAGACTGATCATACTCTCTTCCACAAACACTCTAAGGATGGTAAAATTGCTATTCTTATTGTATATGTAGATGATATAATTCTTACAGATGATGATATTGAGGAATTGAACAACTTGGAGAAATTTCTAGCAGCTCAATTTGAACTCAAAGACCTTGGCACTCTCAAATATTTCCTTGGTATGGAAGTTGCTAGGAGCAAAACAGGCATCACTCTAACACAAAAGAAATATGTTCTAGATCTTTTGTTGGAAACAGGAATGTTAGGGTGTAAACCTGCTGAGACACCTGTGGAACCTAATACCAAGTTAGGTATTGAAGATGGGAATGAGGTGGATAAAGAACAATATCAGCGATTGGTTGGTAAACTAATCTACTTATCTCATACGCGTCCTGACATTGCCTTTGCGGTGAGTATGATTAGTCAATTCATGCACTCACCCAAGGAGAAGCATCTTAGTGCAGTCTATAGGGTGCTTAGATACCTCAAGAATACTCCAGGAAGAGGATTATTCTTTAAAAAGGGGTATAAAAGGACAATTGAAATCTACACTGATGCAGATTGGGCAGGCTCATCAGTAGACAGGAGATCCACCTCAGGCTATTGCACCTATGTGTGGGGAAATCTTGTTACTTGGAGAAGCAAAAAGCAAACAGTGGTTGCAAGAAGTAGTGCTGAAGCAGAATTTCGAGCTTTAGCTCATGGAGTTTGTGAAGGAATCTGGTTGAGAAGACTTCTTCAAGAGTTGAAGATTTCATATTCCCTACCAATAAAACTATATTGCGACAACAAGGCAGCTGTTAGCATTGCTCAAAATCTTGTGCATCATGATCGAACAAAGCACGTGGAAGTTGATCGTCACTTCATCAAAGAAAAATTAGATGATGGAAGTGTGCGTTTGATATATGTTCCAACCAAAGAGCAAACGGCAGATATCCTTACCAAGGGCCTACACCGTCCAGCATTCGAAGACTTGATTGGCAAGTTGGGAATGATCAATATTTACCTCCCAACTTGAGGGGGAGTGTAGAAAATCAGAATTCAAACATGTTTCCGTTTTTATTTCCTATTAATTAGGATTGATTATGATTGATTAGGATTGATTGTGATTAGGATTGATTAGTCATCGCTTAGTCATTCTCAGCGATTCTTTCTTGTATAAATACTCACTCATGTAAATTATTCAAGATCAATATACAAAAACTTCTTTTCAATAGAGAGTATAGAACATCTCAAGCTGCTTAAAAAAATTACTATCTCATGAAGGTACACTCGTATCTCAGCTTCAGATAGTATAGTGATTGAATGAGCACAAAATAGGTTTAAGGTTCAACAAACCGATTAAAACTGAAAGCCGTAAAATAAAACTGACCAAGGATTTCCCATTTTTGAATAAACCATGGGGGAGCGGGAACAAGGTAAGGTAGAATGGATAAAAAAACACATGATTCATAAGCAAACATGCACAATGTATCTATGTAGCATCCATAACAATTAAACAAAATACAATATATCCAACATTTGAACTCACATCAAAGCTCCATAGACAAAGATCTGCGCACGCAATTGTACTTGCTGAATATCCATGAAAGGCTGTTGAAATAGAACAGATGGAGAACCAGAAGTGTTCAAATCTGGAAGACTAGATGTTGAAGCATTTAAAAGAGCAAATGGCTTTGTGCTGATGGAATCAATGTGCCCATAATGCTGCATCTCGTTCGATTGCATAAGCTGGAAACCAGGTGACGGGCTCAGAGACACACTAGTTGATCTATCTGCTCTTTCTGACTGTCTTGCCACAGTTTTTCCTTTACTTCCTTTTTTAGAAGATTCCTTTCCAGCTATCTTATTAGATGCTCGCCGAGTTTTGCGCTCAGGTGTAACTTTAGAAATACTACGTGCTAAAACACCATCGGATATTAGTGGACTCCCATGGGAGACATTTCCTGCTGCTTTGCTCTTGGGAGTACCTAGCCCAGAAGCCAATGGAAATTCCTCCACAACCTTCAATAATAAGGAAGGAGGAGAAAAAAAGAATAAAATAAGTCTATTAGATCACTTCATAATGAAAATACATAACATATCTTAACAATGAATCTTTCAAGAAGCCCCCATGAATGTCAGGGGGAAACTAAATCAGGAAATATAAGCAGTACAGAGAATAACATTCAGATAACAGAGCCTTTAGACTTGTATTATGAACAGCAACAAGAATTACCGTTGATGCTTTGTTGGCTGGAGTAACAGGAACTGTTTGGCTCTTGCCAACATTTGTTCCTCTCGTGGTTAAATCTAAAATGTCTTTCTTGGACAAATTTACCGCTGGATTTACCTCCGGAATTAAGCTTCTCTCATTTTTAGACGCATCATTCCCCTTGGGATCATGATCAGTAGACATGTTTTTTTCATCCTTATTTATGAACTCAGAAGCTGGAGGATTCAGATCAGCAGAAGTCTTAACCTGATTCCCATCCTTTTCATTTTCAGGATGGATTCCAAATGTAATAGAGGGACCACAAGTACTAATGGAAGGATTGGCAGGACAGCCTCCGGTCTCATGCAACTTGATGTGTGAATCAGGTGAAGAAGATATGAAACCTTTGTTTGCAGATATAATGTCACCTACAAAAGTAATATTCCAATATTATGAAATATTTGAATGAATGTTAAGAGCATGAGACGTTACAATTATAAACAACTCAGCACTAGTTCACACAAATTATATTCAACCATTCTACCACAATAACATGGGGTGATTATAAAACAGGACAGGACAAATTGGTACAAATTACAAAACATTTTCCATGGTTACACCCAGAAGTTCACTACTACCTTTGCTCTGAAAGGACACAGCCAGAAGAAACAAGAATAAACAGGGCAGATCGAATGTAAACTCAAAATGTAGACAAGCAACCAGGAAGAAGACGCCACAATCATATGCTTAAAGCAGAGACCATTAGTACAGGTAGTATGCTTATGACAACTAGAAAGAAAAAAATAGAGATAGGGTGGGGAACAGAGAATACTGCCATCCTCATAATGGTCAGGATGCGAAGACCAACACAATAATACTCATGGGACTTGTGAGTCTTTGTGTTTTTGTTTGATCCATGCAGTTGACCCCAACCAGTGGGAAAAGGTTTCTGCTACTGTTGTTGTAACTAGCGCATGTCAGAAGAGTCATCTCTTACATTCATCCCTCTTTTCCCTTCTCATTCTTTATGAGTGGGGGTTTGCTCCTGATTTGGAAGGATGTGTTGAGAGGGCCTTCTTTTCAAGAACCCTTGTTTCTTATATGCAATGGGATTCTAAGTTCGTGGTTAAGGGGAGAATGGGGGTTGGGGAGGATGCCTTATCCCCCCTCCTTCCAATCTATGCACTTCTCTCTTTTCTTGATGAATTCTTTTATTTAAGAAGGAATAGCATCATGATACGAACATTTCATAATATGCATCATGCATCAACTTAGGTTTGCAAAAAATTATTGAAACTTCTATAGTAAGAGAATTATCAGAAAAATTAAATAGCACTTTTGATTGCCCATATAATCAATCTTGTGTTCGTTGCCCCTGGATCATATATTTCACTTTGCATATTCTAGATTGTATTAGGTTTAGAATTTGTACTTGTATTTCTCCTTTCGATCCCCACCCCAAAAAAAAAAAAAAAGAAGAAGAAGCTGACGTAGTTGATTATATATAATACGGGTAGAACCACTTTGGCGTCTTTCATACTTTTTTCTACTATTAGGAAAGAGAACAGAAGGAGGAGGAGGAGATAGCACAGAAAGGTAGTTTTCCATTTTTACTTTTATCCAAAACAGTCATGAAGCTCAATTAAAAGCTTTTTCAATAAACTAATAAAAGTTATAGGGTTGCAAAAGCATGTTACAATAATATATATAAATACTTTTAAAAAATTAAACTCTATTTACTCTTTTTTCCCCTGATTTAACTCCACTTTTCCTCGGGTCCACCATTTTCTTCTTAACTACAGAAACATGTGTGACTTTCAGGTTTCTTATGGGGGAAAAAGCTGACAAGTTCTACAAGACAGAGTTGAATATAAGAGCATTGATCAAACGAGAAATTCAATACACAATGAAGCCAAAATAATGGTCTACTGCCAATTATCATCCTATATATATTAAGTAGGCTTCCCTTAGTCCAGACATATCTGAATGGTACAATAAGAATCTTCCAAAGACACATGCCGATTAGTTATCTTACTTTAGAATAAGTTTGACATCTGAGAAACCACGAGGTCACTGTTTGATAAAAGTATAGTCAAGCAAACAAACATGACTAATTTCAACAAGAGAACACCATATGATATTTTTCATTTTGTTAAAACCTGAGTAAGAGAACCCAAAATCAGAAAAGGAACAAACACGGGAATATTTCTTACTATGTGCAACAGTAAGACAAGATGCTGTTAACATTAAATTTCATGAATGAATACATAACAACAATGCGTTCCTAAAAAATGCATAACGTAATCAACAGACAGTCATTTACAAAATCATTTAATTAGAGGAAAGTAGGGCAATTTGCATAGTTGGTGCCACCAGTTACACGATAATTTTTCCCATGTTCCAGAACTAACACAAACCCCATACCACAAACTACAGAATTTGAAAGGAATCACAAAAATGGACAATACTAGATTAAAGATTACCTGATATTTTTGAGGATGACTTGTCATGATTCTTTTGTATTGTCTCCTCATCATCCTTAATAACAGAAAGCCCAACTTCATCACCCTGTTTCTCTCTTGATTCACATAGAACTGGACCCACACCAACCTCATTTGTGCATTCCTGATCAACCTTATCACTTAGTGTTTCTAGAGGTTCACTGATCTTTTCATTAGGAGTAGTTCCAAGATTCTGCAGACAACTGCTTACTGTCTCACATAAAATCTGACTAGAAGTGTCAGAAAATTTATGTTTTTCAGTTCTAGTAACATGACAAGGAGCAAATTCCTGTTCAGAAGACCCAACAGAAAGAGATATGCCTGTTTCCTCAGCTATTTTGGCTTCAGAGTCCTCTGTTTTATCAACAGAGGCAGACCCAACAAGTATCACCCTTTGAATTTCATGATGATCTGTAACTTCATGTGTGGACACAATTCTGCTAGGAGGTTGAACATCTATCTCACAGGATGTCGAACTAATATTTTCAGATATAAATTGTGAAGCTGAAAAACAACATGAAAAGAAGCCTTGGATTAATCCCTATGGTAAGTTAAATCCTATATTAATATTTTCAAAAGTAATTATAACAAACCTGATTTATTGACAGCCATGACATCAACTGATACTGTCGAACTTGTCAACTTAGTTTCCATGCTACCTGCACCAAGAGATGATGAACCAACTTCCCTATCAACAAGACGGGATTGGTCAACATCACAATACATTAGGCTAGAATCAAAAGGGACCTTTTCACTCTCTCGGTCAATGACAGAAACATCTTGACAAAATTCTTCATGATCATCCATCTTGTCAGATTCCTTGTTTTCACATACTTCAGTTGCCTCACCCAAAATGTCAGATTTGGTAGACACCACCGCATCGAAACTGGAAAAACCTCCCGTTCTGCTACCATTATTTCCTTCACTAACAGTAGAAGTGTTATTGTCCACCACAGCAAACATAGATGCCTCTGACTGACTTAATAAAACATCTGCATCCATCTGGTTACCAGTGTTCAATAACTCCTTTTCCTCAGAAACACTGCTCTTGGCAGATGTCTTCTCAACGGTTCCCACATTCTGCTGAAAATTTGGACAAGTCCCACAATCAGAATTACTGACCTCAACTACATGCCCCTCAGAACTAGAATCATCTTTAATTGAAACCCTTGGTGAGTCACATGTATTTAGTGCGGACTGATCATCTGTACCTGCATCTTTAATCAAGACCACATCTTCATTTGCATTGCCCTGAGACAAATCTCTGAAACATGTATTGTCACTGCATCTTTCTTCTTTCTGCAAGTCAGAAATACCATCAGGTACCATGCTTAAGGAGTCTTCTAAACTACTTACCCCAGTCTCAAGGCCATTAACTACAGTCCCACTTGCCAAAGTTTCTTCCACGGGGATTGAACAAAGAGGTTTATCAGAATGATGCACTTCATCTGCAACTGCATTTACATCCACAGTTTGAGTGTCAACATCACAATCTTTGTTTATTACAGAAGATTCCAAATCTTGCTTATTAGTTTGTATTTGTAAAGAACTTTGCTTCTCATCACCCATACTAGCTACTTGATTTTGCACATTTTGAATGTTTAAGACATCACATGTAAAAGAGATATTTTGTGTAGAAGCAGCAGTAATACTAGTCTTCACCCTAGAAGCAGATGAGTCATCTTGACTTTTTTCGTCAAGAGAACCATCAGCGCCACTCTCAACTCTTCCTTGATTTGTGTCGTTACTTTTGCCATCAGTAAAGAGAATCCCCCTAGGCACAGGCAAGTCAATATTTCTGTGCATATCATGTGGTTGCAGATTACTTGAACTTCCATCAATGGATAATGCACCTTCCTGACCTAGGGAAACTCCAGCCAGAGACTGTTCCATTTCTACATCCTCCTTTGATCCAGACAAGTTTTCATGAATATCTCCAGGTGGCTGTAACTCTGTAGCATTATCATTACACTCATTTTTATCATCAGGTTTTGGATTGGGCTCCATTTGCTTAGCTAAGCATGCCAGTTCATCGCAAGCATCAGATTCCTGTATAACAGTTTCTCTAGGGATAAATTCCTCCTGTCCAACAGATTTTAATAGCATTTCAACAGATTCTGAGGAAGTGGCCTCAGACCAAACATTATTATGTCTTGATATAGAGCAAGATTCAGCTGCAGTTGAACTAAACTCTATGCCACTACTCACCCGGGAGTATGCATCAATCCAGTGGTTATCTTCGTTACTCTCAATGCCAAGGAAAACTTCAGTTTCAACTAAACTATCAAATCTTAAATGCCCTTGAAGGCTTTCATCGAAATCAAACTTAGGAAGAGCAAATGGCCTTAATGCTGAAGGAAATTTGTTGCTCCCTTCACCAGCTAAATGGGGATTCTGGCTTTGAAAATCATTGTCATCATAATCCATGGGTGTATCCCTAAAACAAATAAGCATGTTAGAATAAGATAAACAGCCAGAAAAGTGTCCTTAAACTTGATAAAATATATTCATAAATAGATAGACACACACGCATGCAGACAAAAACACAAGCAAACAGAGGTACACACTTCAAATAAGATTACCACATAAATATACACATCCTTCATCCATGCATCAGAATAACACAGACATAGAAATTCAAATTAAAAAGTTCTTGAGTAACGAACAGCCCAGAGTAGTTTGTGGCAGAAGACGTGGTGGGGCAGCCAACCCCAAAAATAATAGTGGGAAATAGCACATTGTGGAGCGGCCGGGACACAAAGGATAGCAGCTACAATCAAAATACTTCAAAAATGGGTGAACACACAAAATTAATATTCCTGATAATTTTAAAGTTTTGTACCATAAAAAAGCTAACAATTAATATGCAAGGGAAAGACTGCATAGAGAGATTTTCTCACCTCTACCCTTTCAAGTCAGGGTTTCATGGGGAGATGTTTTTGTTAAACAAAATTTCAATACTCAAAACCTAAAGTACTAATAACAAGTCTTAAAAGCATAACCAGATAAGTAAATAAAAACAAAGATTGTTACTACTAAAAAGAATAGTGAAGTCAATTACAAAACAGGGCAGCTGTCAATTATTAGAGCAACAGGACAGTGATCTCCTTTCATTTCTTGAAAAAAAAAATATTAAATAAAAAAACTTTAAATTTGGTTTCAAGAAATGATGTTGGGAATGAACTACACAAAACAAAACAGAGAAAGAAGGCTTATTCAAGAAGCTGCCATTAAAACAGAACTGAACAGCCACAGCGGCACATGGAATAAATCCTAGTGTTGGGGCTTCGATTCCGGCCAGATGCACTTTGGGTCCTCCAATCTATATGTAGAGGCTAAATAGACGTTTGCCTGACCAGATCTAAACTGAAAACCCTAATAGAAACTGCTTTGGCTGCCACCCATATATGCGAAGGGAAGAAATTGTGGTGCACTGCCTACACCGTTATGCTAAAATCCTCTACTTCAAGCATCAGGGAGCTGGGAAACTCGCCCCACTCCAGCGTGATAGCAGTCACTCCAGCTGGCTATTGACTAATTTAATACAACGACCCCACATGAAGCAGGGTAACATACAACCTCAATTTACCGAAAGCAGAAAACAACTTAATCATTTAATCATTTGGTGATTACATAATTTGAAATATCAAGTCGATTCAAGAATTACCTAAAATAGTTCAATTAAAAAAAAAAAACAAAAGTCATATTCATACAAAAAATAACTTTGGTGCCCCTATGGTAATATATTATATATCTATTAATCTATCTAACTTAGAATTGATTTGCCTACAAAGGAACCAGTTTTATTTTGGCAGGGGGAGAGAGAGAGAGAGAGCAGTGGCGAACAGCTCAGAGCCTTGGGTTTATAGACTGTCTAGCAATTTGGGAATGTTGTTTTGAAAAGTATAATCCGGCAGAAAAGGTGCAAATGAAAAATACAGCTAATTGAATGCGTCCAAGTGGTCTCAATTTTGTAAACTACAAAGATGGGTTAACACAACCATCATGCAGTAAGAAAGCTTCTTCTGCATAGTGCCATATCAGCACTCAGGTTGTGACCCTTCGCAGCTTCTTTTCACCAACCTATTCTATTAAAAAAAAGCACTGCTATATTCATGTTTTTACACGAAATCACTCCCAAATGGCTTGTATAACTAAATTTCCCTTATTCAGTGACTAATAGCATTACTCTTATTTATAAAAAAAAAATGACATATTTAAATTTGGATACCGGATGTCCACTTCGCCAGCAGCATAATCAGTTATGCACAGCGGTATTCCTGAGTGAGACATCCTTAAAAACCTTCCAAAACAATGTACACGTAGAAATTAACCATCTCCTTAAATTAAAAGCAGTCACAGAACAATTCTTCTCAGCACCAATTAACCAGACCGGGCAACTAGAAAGAAAGCAAAAAAATTCAAAATATAAAAACTTACCATTTCCAAGCAACCTAAACCAACAAAATTAAGAAATCTCCAAACAAAGTCAAAGTTATGTTTTTTGGAATGGAAAAAAAAAAAAAAACAAAGAACCTTACCATTACAAAGTAAACCAATCCTAATTCCTAACAAAATGAAAAAACAACGAGAACCCTACATCTCAAAAAAAAGTTGGTCATGAACAGTACCATAAGAAGTAAGTCTAAAGACGCTACCTCCCTCCATTCGGCGAGGAAATCCAGCCCCTTTGATCTCACCTATTCCCAAATCGTACAATCATCTACTGCATCAACCGAAATGATTCATTGTGAGTGTAACCTTAACCAAGTAAATAAATTAATAAAACAAAGTATAAGAACACCAACAAGGTCGATGAAAAACCTGTGAGATCAGAGACTCACCGGCGATCTCGAGTTCCGGCAGATCGAATTAGGGTTCCGGCGACGAAAATGATATATAGGCAGACAGATAGTGTTGTGTTAGAAGAGTGGAAACGACACCGAGACGCAAAGAGTGTGTGATACTTTCACGTTGCATTTTTTATTTTATTTTATTTTATTTTATTTTTTAATTCTTACATGGCTGAGGAAAAAGCATTCGGATTTTTATTTTATTTTATTTATTGTACTTTGGTCTTTTCCAACGCAGAAAACAGGTGTCGGAACTGGAAAGGCGGGTTTTTTCGTAAATAGATGAGAATCCACATCCCACAAAATTTTGATATAAATTTTTTTTTTTTTTTTGGTAAATAGATATAAATTTTACTATATAATAATTTTTCAATTTTTAATGTGATTAATTCAATTATAATTATGCTATTTTTATTTAGAACAGGAGAACCCCCGTGCAAAATTCGGATACGAATTAATAAATATATAATTGATTTAGTTATCAAAATAATTTATTTTTTATTTTATAAAATAAACATATTAATTGTTATTAATAATGATAATAATAATAGAGATAAAATATTATTACTACCAAAGTCATAGCGACATTAATAATAACACTAACTGATAATAATAATATCCTATCTCGTAATAATAATTTTTCAACTCTCAAAAAGCAGTTGTATAAAAATCGACATGCTCACCGGTTGGTTACTGATTAATTAAATACTTAATTTCAATAAAATAGACAAGATTACTTAGATGTGAGAGATCAAACGAGATTAGAGAGATAGTTCTTTTAATAAAATATTCTTTTAATAAAAAAATGGAGAGATATTGTAATTCAAATTAATAATAGCGAGTGAGATCTAAATTTTTAATAGTGATGCAATACATTAAATGAAATTTAGTCAGAATATTGAAAAAAAATGATAGATTTAAGAGACACACTATGCTTAAAAATTCTCAAACAATAAAAGTTTAGGGCTCGTTTGGTGGATAGGATATGATAAGAGTAGGATATGATATGAGACTGATAAGGATAAGATATGATATGTGGCTGATAAGCCTATATCATGTCATGTGAGCACCTGATTAACAATCTGATAAGATTATATAGAAGGAGAAAGGAAAAAGAAAAAACAAAATATAATGCAATAAATACAATATTGGATAGCGTGGGAATATATTAGGTATTCAATATTGATATCCTATCATATTGAATCATAACTCAACTCTCCCGTAGAATCAGAAATCATGTATTGGATAGGATAAAATGAGACAATCGAATAAGCTAATCATATTCTTTTGATCAACCAAACAAGAAATAAAAATAGAATATGATAAGTTATCCTATCTTATCTTTTTTATCATGTGTTTCAAATAGACCTTAAACTAATATTTTAAATGGACACCGGGCTAGTGCAATAAGTGGGTGGTATCGAATATGGCCACAAAAAGTTATGCCTGATATCAACATGCCTTTCAAGAATAACCTATGCCTCTGCATTTTCTTCTTGATTTGGTTAAAAAATAGTTGTCTTAATAAAATTAAAACTCAATAAATTTTAATGTGTTTTCTTAGTATTACAATCAGCTGGAGATATAAGGAAAATGGTCTAGGTCGCTATGAGTTTTGTTGGGAATGCCAGGATGAAGTCAAATTTATTTTATTTCTTTGTAAATCATATTTTTAAACTTTAAACAATAAAACAAAAATTGATCTGTTATATTTTGAGTGAGTGTTTAGCGTCAGAGCAATTGACTCCGTCACCACTCACCATACAACTTCCCTCGTAATGGTTGTACGAAATTATGAAAATTCTCTGGCTACCCTTCGTTTTATAAAAATAACAGTATTTTTAGTAATTGGTTATTAATATTTGATTATATGTTTTATATAAATAAAATATAAATATAAAAGCAACTTAGTATATTTATATATTGAGTAAGTTAAATACATAACCAAATATAAATTATTAATTATTAAAAACTGCACGTACCATCACAAAAAAATAAGGGCATTAAAATAATCTTCTCAAATTATTAATAATGATTGATTATTAATAAAAATAAGAAAATTCCTTAACGGAAAAGTCTTAATATGCATGTGAGATTCACAAGTGTTGTATTGAAGATGTTGATATAAAATTATTAATATCATCATCACTTACCATGCTTTGAACCTAGAGGGGAAAAAAAGGAGGTCATTTGCGGTGGACCGGGCCTTGGTGTGCCTTAATCAAAAAAGAAAGAAAAAAGGAGTGAGAGGTAATTTAAAAAGAAGATAGGGATATAAATGTAAAAAAAAAAAATTCTTTATTTGAAAAGGAGCATCCAAAAAAATGTACACCGGGATCATAATAAAAAATCCGAAAAAAATATATTGCATAAGAAATTATGTTAAAATATATAATAAAATTATTCATGTGTCGCGTGGCTTAAACTTTTGAAATTTTTTGACATCTGACATTATGTGAGTGGACTTGTGCAAAAGGATTTTTATCATAAATTTATAAGATGGTTCTAAATAGTGAATATCCTTGTTCGAGGTGAAAACTGATGTCTAGTGTATGAGCTAGTAATTATATCCACTGAGCAAGCAAAAAAAGATAATTGGCAATAATGAGTTCAATACTTTTAGCCACAATCCAATGAGTATGCTAATAAAGGGTGTGTGTGTGTGTGATATATAGGAATGGTGAGAGCTTTAAGGGTAGAATAAGTTGTGAAATGTTGTGTGTATGAAGCATCCTCCCCACGGGAATTGTTCATGTATTTATACTTCCCTGGAGAGCAATTATCGTAATAATCATGACCTTAGAGCAATTTTCCCATATGATGATCGTGTGTCGAAGAATATGGGGAGGATCGTGAGTGTATACCCACTATAACACCTCGTATTTCGGAAACATATTATTATACATAGAAATGTGGTTTAAAGGGTAGGATTAGTGAAAATCCTGAAATTATAGTCAAATTGCATAAGAAGGGTAAAATGATAATTTACCAAACACGTAACCTTAGGAAATGAAATTTGAGTAGGAGGTCTCAAATGAGAAAAATAACACTGACAATGGATTCAGAACGAAAAATTGAGTGGATAGGCAAGTTTCTGCAAATTTGATGAATAATGATTTTACCGGTATAAAAGTACTGTGATATAATTGTACCGATAAGCGCAAAAATATGATTAGTATTTATAGGAAGTAAAAATACGACGTGAACGAGAAAAATACGTAGGTTATGAATTTGTAGATTAAATTGAGTGATTTAAGAAAGTTAAGATACGTGTGGGATCCACTTAAGTGACTTAAGTGGGTAAAGAGACTTGAAATCAGATTTTCTCACATTTTCTCTCTCCTCTCTTTCTTCTTACCGTGGAGCTCCCCACCATGGTTAAGGGCAAGAAAGCTTCTCAAATTAAAACTTTAAGTTAGAGCCATTTTTAGGAGAAACTTCCAACTACAAAGTTGTTTTCCTTGAGTTTGTGAGTGACTTTCATGTAGAGAGCATCTTGTGGGGATCATTGTGTGGGGAGAAATTCTCCAAAATCAGCCACAAAATTTGTGGATTTTTGGGAGATTTTGGTGCTTTTTTGTGTTGATTGGTTGGTTGTAGATAATCCCCTTGGATCCTAGGAAACTATTGGTGGTAAGTTTTCACACTCTCTTTGAGTTTTCAATGAGATCATAAAATAGATGAGGGTTTTGATTATGTGTTGATGAGTTGTGGTAGTTAGGGGCTTTTAATGATATTGCTCATTTGGAATTAAATGCTTAGAATGATAAATGATGATGATTGATGCAATAAAAATTATGGTGGTTTGTAAATTTGTAACTTAGGTAAATTTATGATGGAATTGTCTTGAAAATCATAAATGTGATGGTTGAGAATTAATGGTTGGTTGTTGAGATATTAATGAGGATCATTAAGGTTGGTAGAATCATATGAAAATAGTTGGAAATCTCCGTAGATGATTGGGGAGGAACCCATCTACCTATAGGATGAAATGAGAAAAAATGATGTGAAAAATGTGGTGTAATCAATGGGTGATGCCTTGGTGCATAAATGGTGAAATAGTTGAAATAAATGAAAGATAGCCTTTAGGCCTAAGTGGTTATGTTGGTTATTATTATTGTGAAGTTGATTGATTGTACGCAAGTGTTGATGATCATGATTATTTGATCAATATAGGCTACCTCGCACGAACTCAGTAGAGGTGGATTAAGCTTGGAGCTTACGTATGAGAGCATTGCTTTCGGAGTTAAGGTAAACTCTTGGTACTGGAGTTTATCTCCTTGTGTTTTCCGCCACACCTAATGAAAGGTAGTGGTTGGATTGTGTGCTCTATGACATTGTGTGAAATTGTATGTTCATGCATTATTGCCATGATTGTGTGACATGCTTGGAGCATATTGTGTGACATATCTGTAATCTCTTGTCAGTAGATGTGTGTGGTTTGGACTTTCGCTGGAGATATCCCTTTGGGGGATTCCGATCAGGTTTTGCCGTGAGACTGTCTCTAGGAGCGGTACCAGGATGATCCAAATGTGGGACTTTCGCTGGATAGGTCTCATGAGGAGTTCCAGTTGGGTTTTGCCATGGGGTCGTCTCATCCATGGGAGAGGCACCAAGAAGCTTTCCGAGAGTTATATGATGGGGTCCTTGAACGGAATCCTTATATGGATGTTCTTGGATGTGAGCCCAGTGTTGTGTGATATTTCTGTGTTATGCATTTTATATGATGATCATTATATGCACATTGAGTGAGCCATGGGGTGGAGTGATCCTGTACCCTTGGTTTACCGAGATATATTTGTATATCTCATCTTGCGTTTGGAGACATCATTTTAGGTTATAGTGAGCATAGAGGATCTTTGGGCAAGATGCCTGCTTAGTGGAGGAGTTGATCAGGGGGTACATATGGAGAGCATAGCATTTTGGAGGATTACATTTGATGCACATAGCATAGTGTTTAGCATTTTGGATTTAGGTTATGAACATATTACATGTTGATATTGCCATGCTTTTAGGTGTTCATAATTATATTCTAAGACTTTTGTAATTGATGTACATTCTATGCCTTAGCTTATATTAGTATTTTATGAG